CATATAATATATATATATATATATATATATATATATATATATATATATATATATATGTATATATATGTATATATATATATATATATATATATATATATATATATATATATATATATATATATATATATATATATATATATATATATATATATATATGTATATATACATATATATATATATATATATGTATGTATATATACATATATCTACATATAGAGACTTCTATTTTTTAATATTTATTTCAGAGCTTTATTATTGTATATATTATATATATATATATATATATATATATATATATATATATATATATATATATATATATATATATATATATATATATATGTATATATATGTATATATACATATATATAAATATCTATATCTATATCTATATCTATATCTATATATATATCTATATCTATATATATATATCTATATCTATATCTATATCTATATATCTATATATCTATATATATATATATATATATATATATATATATATATATATATATATATATATATATATATATAGTCTTGCATGTCTTTTGCGTAGCATCAAAAAATATTTCCCATAAACTGTAGTTTTAAAGAGCGCGTTAATAAACCAGACCAGAAAAAGTTTTAAAAATTAAATTTTTTTTTTTAATTGATAGACTGCCTGGCCAAACCAAACCCTCAGTCGATGTAGCAGCACTCTCTTGCGAGTCAGGCTATTTGTCAGTCGTTGTAGCAGCACTCCCTTGCGAGTCAGGCTATTTGTCAGTCGATGTAGCAGCATTCCCTTGCGAGTCAGGCTATTTGTCAGTCGATGTAGCAGCACTCCGTTGCGAGTCAGGCTATTTGTCAGTCGATGTAGCAGCACTCCGTTGCGAGTCAGGCTATTTGTCAGTCGATGTAGCAGCACTCCGTTGCGAGTCAGGCTATAAGATAGTCGATGTAGTAACATTTACGCATGTTTAAAAAATGTTTTTTATTAAATCAATAACAAAAACACCACTAATTAAAAAAAACTTTCTAGTCGTTATAATTGCGGTTTTTTAAAATTTTTCTAAAAAACAATTAAATTTAATGTACTTCCGCATAAATTAATTGCTTTGACATTTCGATGACAATCAAAAACAGCTTAAGAGACGAGGTAATTAAAATTGTAGTCGTAAGAGACTTTTTTTACATTAAAATGCTCTTAAAGCGACACTATATGAGTATATATATATATATATATATATATATATATATATATATATATATATATATATATATATATATATATATATATATATATGTATATATACATATATATATATATATATATATATATATATATATATATATATATATAATATATATATATATATATATATATATATATATACATATATATATATATATATATATATATATATATATATATATATATATAATGCATTTATACATATATCTACATATAAAGACTTCTATTTTTTAATATTTATTTCAGAGTTTTATTATTGTATAATGTTTTGTAATGATACTCCACTAGAGTTAGAAAACGTTTACTGATTTTTGTTATAACATTTTTGTTAAATGGTTGGTTGTACCATATGATATTGCATTTTGGCTTTTTTCATTAGATTGGTTTTATCTTTGGTTGTTAAGTGAGCGTACAATTGTATCCAGTTTTTTTAATGTATCATTGTAACTAGAAATAGAATTCTTAAAAATAACTTCACTTAATGATGTGGCAGACAGTTTTGATTTGTTGAAGATCTTTTTATGTTAGGTGAGTGGTTAGAATCACCAGGTATGTAATTAAGGGTATTATCCGGTTTACTCAAGGCTTAGGATAACATCAAGATAAATTACGATTTTCATATTGCAATATTTTAGATACAAGAAGGTTATGAATTTTAAAAGTTGGCACAAAATGTTTTTTCATATTTTCCATTTGTTGTCTGCTTTTATTTTTAAAAATAACCAATCTGCTATCTCTTTATAAACCAAATTGGTTTATGTTATACAATTGCAAAATTTAAAATAAAATGAAAATAGCAACTAGTTTGCATACCTCTGCACCATTGAATGCACCCATGTTGACATCAATTAAACCAGCTCCTTTTTAAATTCATGTTATTTGATTGTTTAAAAGTAAAGATTTTTTAACACACTGTATAAATGCATTATGTTCTTTGCTAACAAATGCATGCTGCTTAGCAAAAGTAATTGCCATCTATTAGAGGATTTTTGGAGATTGATAGATAGAAATCATTAATGTCAAAGACTAAAAATTTATAACATTTTTTTTCTTTAATACCTTATAACCAATTTAATACATCTTGGTTGCTTTGCTATTGATTTAAATAAAGTTTTGTTCTTAATTCATATTTATTATTATATATCAACTTAAAATATATTTATAGTTGATATTTGATAGTTGATATTTGATATAAGTACTTGAAATTCTACCTTCTTAATTTTTTGCAGGATTTAAAAACCCAACAGTAGGGTTATTTAAAAAGTTGGCTTTGTGCCAGACAGTAAGATTATATAAAAAGTTGACTTTTATGATTTAAAAAGTTGACTTTGCGAATTTTAAAAAGTTGACTTAGTGAATTTTTAATGTTATGAATCAGTCAGAAGTTCTATTTTTTTCACTTTTATTTAAAAACGTAATGGTTAATTAAAAGCTGTTTACCATCCTTGTTTAATTTATCTTTAAGCTTAGGAGCAACTTTTTTATTAATGGTGGCGATCACATTTGTAAGGAGAAAGTTATATTCATCCCTAGTTAATGTGTTTATGCTTGAGGTTTTATCAACAAAAGTTTAGATTTTATGAGATGATTGTAAGGATTCAATATCCAGATTCATTTTTTCTTGAAACATATTGTTGGCATTGCAAAATTTTATAGTTTTAACTAGATTTATTGAATCTCTTTTAAATTGTACAAATTAACTAGGAATAAATAAAACTTTCTCTTTAAAAACGTGATCACCACCATTAATAAAAATGTTGCCTCTAAACTTAAAGCTCAAATAAACAAAGAAAAGTAAGCAGCTTTTAATTAACCATTACGTTTTTAAATAAAATTGAAAAAAACAACAACTTTTAATTAATCATTCCATTTTTAAATAAAATCAAAATTGACGGAACTTCTAAAATTATCATATCAGTAAATATATCTGTAATTTATTGGCCATTAGACAAACATTATCATTTTTTTTTTTCTTCATTAGATTGCTATAGAGATGTCAGAACTCATTCCATTTCATTTGTAATTTTTTAGAATGGTTTTCTTTCAATTTTAGAATTTACAAAGCATGAAACTGATAAGTTGTTTTTTTTCTTTATTATATATATATATATATATATATATATATATATATATATATATATATATATATATATATATATATATAATATATATATCACAAATGATTGAACACTATAGGAGAGACAAAAACTTACACATATACAAACATCTCCAGGGCTCAAATTAATTGTGATTGCAATTGCTTTTCACACCTTAGCAAATAGTTTTTTGTTTTTTTAAATATTTTCACGATATGTTTGTTTCTTTTTTTTTTCTTTTCTAATTTAGCATTTTTTTTGGCCATTGTCGCTCTAAATTTATCTTTTGAATAGAAGTTTGCGCAGAAATTTGAATTCAACAAAAAGCACTTTTGAATTTAAATTACTTTAAATCTCTGTATGGAACCAATAGTATTGTAAAGTTAGCTTGATTTACTAAATGGATGAAGTGCATCACAGTAAATTTACCTATAAACTAAATCAAAACAACCAGTTAATTTACTACAGTAACTTACAGTTACTTAATTATTAAATTTATTAAATATACTCAAAGACTCGCAAAAGTTAGCCATACAAATGTTTCTATTTATATCTTATATGTTATTAACACATAATATAAGCTTTTAACTTATTTTTTTATAAAATTATTTTAACAAGAAATCTCAAATAGAATATAAAAAGCGTGATACAATTTTTTTATATTTTAAACATTTTCTATAAACACGCAAGTTGTTTTTAGGAATTTTTTTTTAAAAAGAAATTTATTTAAACAAAAGAATTTTAGTCTTCTTAAATTCTTATATTCAAATAATTTTGCAATTTAAATTTAAAACTGAAAAAAGTTTTAAAAATTTAAAAGAATTTTAACATTCAATAATCATAAATTTAATTTATATTTAATAATTGAAGCTGCGTTTAAACACCTACCCAGTTTTACTCCTGAAAAAAATGTCTTTTGAATATTTAAAAGACATTCTGAAATTCTTTTGAACTTTTAAAAAATATCTTTTCAAGAAAAAATGCTGGCTAGGCCTGCATAGAGAGGACATTTCCAGAAAGTTAAACATATATCTAGCTGCAGTAACAATATCAGATTTAGAACATAGTGCAAGAGAGGAAAAAAGCTTTATTTAATTCGTAAACATTTTGAATAGTTAATTATTTTTTGTTTCTTAAAATTGCAATGTTTGTCTTTGTAATTGCAATGTAACAGTTTTACAAGTAGAAACATTCTATTGTAAGCATTAAGCCAAAAATTAAATTATAAAAACTTGAAATAAAAACAAATAAATTATTTTACTTTTGTTGATGCAAAACAACTTGAATGAAAAAATTGAATGAAAACGTTAACTTAAAAACCATTTGAATGAAAAAATTTAGTATACTTAAATTTTTAATAGTATACTAGATTAAGAAACAATAAATTGTAAAAAAAGTGGTATCTAATGTTTTTTTGCTTTGATCTTATTTGTTTGGTCTATAGATTATAGACTCATATGATCTATAAGCATGTTTTGCACAAATATGAAGTTAACAGTTAATGGCAAAAAAAAATATTTTTTTGAATTAATTTGAGCCCTAATCTAACAATATTCAATGCTATCAATAACAAAATCCATGCTAACAATAATGGCTTTCATAGTTATTATAATGATTGTTTTTCAATATTGGATTTGTATAGATATTGTAAACATATTTATGAAAAAGCTTACGGAGTTAATTTCATTATAACGATCGATAGGATCTTCAACTGCAAGAGCTGCTGAACTTAAAATTATTACTGCAATCATGAAATGATCGAAATAACGTAGATTAACAATCTTATGACAAAACAAGCGAAATCTGAAAAACAAGAGTTTCTTTTGTGTGACGTTATTAATGTAAAAAAGAAAAAAATACATCTAGATAAACTAAGAAAGAAAACCTGTTAGTTGGTGAGAAAATAAAAAGGGAAGAAACATTTAACACAGGAATACTTCTGTTAATGCGTTTGCGCTGTGCCAGATTAACTTTTAACATGTTAAGAAACCCTTGATGTTTCATTTGTGTTTCAAAATCTAAAATAAAAATATGTTTCAATAAATTTTTATTTGGTGCTCCTTAGGAATTTTACAAGAAACCAGAAAAAAAAGTACTCAACCAAACAAAAATCTAAGAAGTGCATAACATTTCATAGAACAAGAAAAACTAGCAATCAGTAATTACAACAAATTGTTAATAAACAAAATTTATAAAATACAAACATTTATAAAACAATGAATATACCTTCTTCTAATGATTTTTTTCTCAATGGCATATATTGTTTTAGACTTGATTTTAGTGTGTTATTATTCTTTATAGAATTTCCAATATAACGTTTTCTTAATGAATTCTTTTGCTCTATATTTCTGATAATTTGATCTGATAATTTCTTTTGATCAACTGGGTTTTTTTTAACTGAACTATCATCTAATTTAGATTTATTTAAAATTTCTGCATTAACATTCAAAAATATATTTGGAGTGGGACTGTAATCAACTATTTTCAACCACTATAAAAAAAATATTTGCATTTAAAATAAAAAAATTTTGGATATTAAAATACATTTATTTTTGAAAAAAATAAAAAATATATTAAAAAATATTTCTAACAAAAAAAAAAAAAAAAACCTTTTTTTGAACTGAACTCTTATACTTGTCCCTGCAATAAAAAAAATTTATTCTTATAAATTTTTATTTTATTTCTAAAAAACATTTTTTTTTTTATAAAATAGTTTTTTTGAATATACAAATACTATAAAAATTGAGATGTAGTGGTGTTTTCATAAAATATCGCTATGTCAAAATTTCATTTTCTAATATAAGAGATAAGTATACAAAAAAATATTTTATTTAAATTTTATTATGCTTTAATTAAGGCTAATTATTTGAGTTCAATTAAACCAATTTATTTTATGCCTTATACTTTTGAATGAGATTTGTACTTAAAAATTTGAATGGATGATTAATGCGAGCTGTCAAGCAACAACTTTATGAAAAAATGGCAAAAAATGACTGTTTTTAGAGGCAAAAATGTTAAAAAATGATAAATTTTATTTAGAAAAAAGGAAAAATTCAACAATTATTTTCAAAAATAAAATAAATCAGAAGTCATCAAAAATGTCTAAAATAATATAAAATAAATTAACAGAATAGAGAAAACACCAAATAAGATTCAAAATATTTAAACAAGAAGTGCACAACAACTTTTGTTTACAATACTACTGTGGTTTTTTGAAACAAATAATTTAACTATTCGTTTCACTTTTTTGTTTTAAACCAATATTTACTCTTAACTTGTTTTGTTTATTTCAATGTGTGTTAGCATTTTCATGATTTTTTTTGCACTATTGACCATTTCATCGGCAATTTTTATACCTATGATGTTTTCTTTATTGATGGCACTTTGCATAGACTTGGTCGCTTCATCCAGCATTCTCTGAGCAAGTTGAAACTCTAGATCTGCATTTTTCTTATCATTTTCAAGATTATTTTCCCTTTGATCTGGGTTTTTGTTGTTGCTTTTTTTTTTTTAACTTTTTCAAGCATTTCTTTGTGTTGCTTTTCTTTATAAATAAGTTCTTGCTTATGAATATCATTTATTCTTTTTTCTTCTTCTTCCTCAGCTATTCTTTTTTCATATATTCTGTGAGCATTTTGCACTTATTGAAACAAGAGTGTGGAGTCGTAAAAAAAAAGTAACTCCAACTACAGTTGTTGAATTTTTCAAAGTACAACTTCAACTCCAACTCTGACTCTAAAGCAAAATTTTTGAAAAATTCTTTGAATTCTTTAAAAAATTACGAGATAATTAAAAATTTTTTTTTTGCCAAATTTATGAAAAGTTCTTTAAAGGCTTAATATTAATATAAAGTTAATTGAATATTTTGTACATTTTTTTGTATTTTGTAAGTTTTACTATTGTCGTCAGAGTCCTGATTTTGTTTAGCTACTCTGACTCCGCTAAAAATTTTGCGACTCCGACTCCACAGCCCTGGATTGAACAACGTCTTTAGAGAGAGCATTAACATTATATGCTTGATTGCAACTGCTTGAGTATATCTTTGATATTCTCAGAGCCATTAATGTTTCATCATTTAGTTTTACTTGCTCTAAAGCCAATTTATTTTTATTATCTGATAAACTTTGCTCTGCACTAGCATTTCCATTATGAGTAGTTAAACAGCTCTTAACAATTTTTTTAACAATTTAATTTTTTTTTTGATTTTTTGTATCACAATCTGAATACCAGTCTTTTGAGATATTAGCTGCCTGATACATTCATCTTTCACAGATGATACCAATACAAAAATGAAGATAAAATTCTAATGGAAAAATTAATATTTAAATCTAAAGGAAAACTAAATTAACTAACAATATTACAAAATCTTAAAAAAATATAATATTCATAAACAGAAAATGTGTTAAATACAAAATAAACTATTAAAATACATTTAAAAAAACAAACAAAATCTACAAGTAAATATAAATTAAAATAAAAGCATTTTTTTTGACATCTTCAGCTGTTGCTCTGCGAAAAACAGCCATGTTAAATATTTTGTAACAACTTAATTCTTTTCTTCTGACTAAAAACAATATTAAAGAAAAAGCACTCTGACTTATTGATAGAACAGAGGCGTTTCTCCAACAAAGGTCCAAGGCTATCTGGAAATTTATATGAAGCTTTTTGTTTACTCATCTGAAACCTTGAATTACTATACTATCTGGAAACAAATAATAATTGTGTCAGAATGTCTTAAAGCAAGATCATTTTCAGCTACTTTAAACAACTTCATAGAATCTGCAGCTGAAATTTTATCATTGATAGAATACTCTAATTGTACTACTTTCTATCCCAAGAGAGTTTTTATTTGAATTCACATATAAATGATGAGCTGTTTTTGAAAAGAGTTTATGTTTAGGTTTTGTAGAATGCTGATAAAATATTTGAAAACCAATTAAACTGTATTTCAAATCACTAAAACATAGTTTAAAGACTACATAATCAGAGTTTTGTTTTCTCAGCCCGTAGTTTAATTTTTACTTGATTTTCATCAAGATTTTCCAGCCAAAACTCATTCTATTAAACCATTATAGCTTTGACCTATCTATTGAATAATATAGATCCATCTATTGATTAATATACTTAAAATTAAAATAGATAATAGTAACTTTACAAATACCGAAACTCTTATTCAAAATTTAGTTCTCAATTCAGTTTATCAAGCAATAGAAATGATAAAAACAATTTAACAATTCAAAAAATTACAATATTTAAATAAAACTTAAAAATATATATATTGTAAGATTTATTGTAAAATTTAACTTAAAGTAAAATAAACTCAATCCACATACTTAAAAAAAAATTCCATTGAAAAAAATTCAAAAAAAAAAAAAAAAAAAAAATGACAAAACTCCCTAAAAAATGAAAAAAAAATAAATTAATAAAAAAGACCCAGAAAAAAAAAGAAAAAAAAGACAACTTGATAGCCTGTTCAATGGAAAACTGTAACTGTCTGGATTCAAGAGACTTAAGCAAGGCAATAAAAGCACTACCAATTACCTACCTTCATGAAACTTTATGGTGAAAAATTTTTTGTGAAAGTAAAAGCAAAAAAAGATTTTTGACAGGATACACTGGATCATGTAAGCTCTATGTTAACAACAATGAACACATCATTTCATGTAAGTTCTATGTTAACAACAATGAACACATTATTTAATGTAAGTTCTATGTTAACAACAATGAATACATCATTTCATGTAAGTTCTATGTTAACAACAATGAACACATCATTTAATGTAAGTTCTATGTTAACAACAATGAACACATCATTTAATGTAAGCTCTATGTTAACAACAATGAATGCATTAACAAAAATGAATGCATCTTTACATGTAAGCTTCAAGTTAACAATGAACACATCATTTCATGCAAGCTCTATGTTGACAATGAACATATCATTTCATGTAAGCTCTATGTTGACAACAATGAACACATCATTTCAAGTAAACTCTATGTTAACAATGAATACATTATTTCATGTAAGCTATATATTAACAATGAACACACATTTTTGAAGAAAATTTTGAGTTTATAAATAGAAATGATTATAAACATTAAAAAACTAAAGAATTTTTATTAAGAAGAATTGGTATATTTAAGACACAAATTGGTAGATAAAAATTATCAGCAGATATTACATAAATCAATGCAAGAATTATACCAGATACTGTATAACTCAATTAAAAGCTATAAACTGAGGGAAAAAGATATATTTACAAAGAACTCTTGGTACAGTAGTTATGCATTTTTACTATTTTATGTAACATACCAAAACCATTTTAAAATCTAATAAAAAGGGTTACTTAAATAGTTTAGCACCTAATAAGGTAAAGATTAAAGAAAGTAGCTCTACTACACAAATAATGACCTAAAAAAATAAGAGTGTTTGAGGATTGAGCATTATTGGTCTTACAAAGCAAAATTACCTATGATAAAAATAAATATACTCTTACACACACACACACACACACACACACACACACACACACACACACACAAAAATTATAATTCCAACAGTAATGTGATACTTAGACAAACAAGCAAGACAAAAAATTGTATAAAAGTTGAGCATGTGACATGACATGTTTGGAATTTTATAAGTGGGATTATATTTTTAAAAAAATATACTAAAGATGTGCATGTGACATGACATGTTTGAAATTTTATAAGTGGGATTATACTTTAAAAAACATTCTAAAGTTGTGCATGTGACATGAAATGTTTGGAATTTTATGTGGGGTTATATTTTAAAAAATGTATGTGACATGTTTAGAATTGTATAACTAGGATTACATTTAAAAATTTGTGTAATATTAGACCAATTTGTAAAATGGGATTATACTAAAACATTTGAAAAGAATAAATAACTGTTTAGTTAAGGCTGATTAAACTTATATAGCAATATGTTGGATATATATTTATAAACAAAATTTTATAAATTAAAAAAAATATATAATAAAATGTAAAAAATATATGAGTATAACTTCTGACATATTAAAAAATAAATGAATATAAATTAGAAACTAAAATTAATACAATGATTCGACATCTGAATCTCTAGCACCCATTCGAATTTTGGAAAACCCAATTACAGGCAAATTAGAAACAACATTGTCTTCTGAAGACAAGGATAATTTTTCTGCATCCTCAGCACTATTTGCTTCTTCATTGCAAAACTGAATATCTTTGTCTTGCATTAATTTATCCAATACTGCAGCAGTAGAGTTTTCATTAGAATTTTTGCACAAGAAATTAGTTGAATGTGTTTCAGGCAAATCTAAATTATTATTAGTAATCACATTGTTATTTTTTCTCTTTACTTCTTCTCTTTCTTCATCTTGTGTAAGAATTTCAGCATTAGTAAGATTATCCACAGCAATAGCCAAGAATACATTGAGCAGAGTGTCTAAGAATTTTAGTTAAGGAGTAGAAAATCATATTTTAAAAAAAAATCATAATTGTTAAACTATTGACTAAATATTTATAATTGTGAATATAAGGTATAAGTAATAATAATGGTTTACTTTAAGTGTAGGCCTAATACATTTTTAACAATTTAAATTAAATATGACATTATCAATAACATTTCATGTGCAGTTAAGCATAAAATTTATTTAATAATATTATGATTATATAGATGATTATTAATGTTCATTTTGTGATTGTAATAATCATTCACAATAGTATTACGTATGATTTATATAATTTTTAAAAAACATGTAGGTGTAAAAAGATACAGTTACCAAAAATTACTAAAAATAAAAAATATAGCGACACTAAAATTCCTGCAGCAGAATCAGGAGCTCCATATGCTATCATGCCACTATACATAACAGTGTTCCAATCTTCTCCAGTTACTACCTAAATTAATACATCACCATGACAGTATTAGCACACAATTAAAATTTAAATGCTCGTGTAAATTTGTTGATGTTTAACATAATTAAAATCAACTAAATTTAAAACCTGGAACACAGCTAATAAAGAGTCAGGAAAACTATCAAAATTTGTGCGCGGATACTCATTCTGTTTGGAAAACCTAAATTTAGAATTTAACTTATACACATCCTCTTAAAAAATGTCATAGTAAAAAAATAACTAAAAAAAGGCAAGTACAGTAAAAACCATAATTAAAATACTCATACTTTCCAGAGAATAACTGCATTCCCAGTAGAGCAGTAATAAGCATGTAGAGAAGGAGAAGAAACAAAAGGCTGAGAATAGAATTCATTGCATTCATTAATGAAGCAACAAGATTACGCAATGTTGACCAATATCTGAAAGATTAAGAAATAAAGAAGTGGTTGAAAAAATAACTAAGTTTTAAGCATTTTGAGCTTTTTAAAAAATAAATTTTTTTTCTGAGTTATTTAGATAAAAATTTATGAATTTAATAAAAAAAGTATTAAAAATGAAATTGTGGAAAGAATCTGTTGGTGATTTTTTTATAATTATAACCATACCATGTTTTATGAAACATTTACCACTGTGCACACATTAAATTGCCTTAAATTGTTGCTTACTGTCAATATCTTTTAAATTGCTGCTTACTGTCAATATCTTTTAAATTGTTGCTTACTGTCAATATCTTTTAAAAAATACTTCTTTCAATAAATAGTTACATAAAATTTATTTTTATATTTGTAGTTAAATAATTTGTAAAATGATAAAATAATTTTTAAAATGATTACTTTTGATTAAATAATTAACTTTTAACTAATCAGTTTTTAATACTGTTGTTATACAAATTTATTTATTAAGTTAAAAAAGTTGTAAAAAACATCAAACAAACTTAACAACAACACCCAAACCTAACACACACCAAACAAACTTAACAACAACACCCAAACCTAAACCACACCATACAAACTTAACATCAACACTCAAAGCTAAACCCCATCATACAAACTTAATAACAGCACCCATAAATTTATTCTTATATTAATTAAAAGTGAGCTTAAATTTACAGTAAATATTAATAAAAAAATTTCATGATACAATATGACATATTATTTATAAATTTAATTTTAAGCAATGCCTATAACTCAAGAGTTATGTCTTGAAGAGATAAGGCAATACATGGAAAGAATGCAAATACTGTTTTGAACAATGATAATTAAGGGCTTAGAACAACTGCAAAGAATTTTACAAGATTAGGCAAGTCAATTTTAACAACCCAATATTTAATAACTTTCCATTCATTTTTAAATATTTAGTTTAAAGTTTAGATTTTTAATGTGTTTGGTTATATTTTCAGACAAACATTTGGACATTTTTGTATTGGAAATTTTCAGATAGACTATAATCAAGATGAACCTCTACAACTTGTCTTACATAGAAAGAAAAGGTTTTCTAAGAATACCATAATGATAGGGCAGACTAGAGAATTGTAAGAACAGAAAATAAAAGTAAAATTTTATACTATTGGATGACAATTACATTAGATATGGAAGCATGAGTTAAGTATATGTTTATTATTTTCTATTTACGCAAGTTACATGTTTATTTTCTTGTTAATATTAAATAAATAAACATGTAATCTACATTCATAATATACATATTAAATTGTATGAATTATATTATTCTAATTAAATAATATATAGTCTAAAATATAGATCAGCCAACGTAAACAATAACACAACTACTGCTCTTCTTTGTGTAAATAATTTATTTTGTTAGTTATTTTTAATTGTTCTGTTATATAGCTTACCAATAAAAAATTCAATTAATGGGTATTAAACATTATGTGACATCACCATACTATCCTTAAAGTATTAGTCAAGATAAATGTACCAATCAAACTTTAATCTTTTTTGAAGCAAATTACCAATAACTTTACTAATCATTTTTTTATAATTTTATTTCATTTTTCATTGAGCTTCTACTAGTTTATTTACAAAATTTTTGACTATTTTAAATTTACCTTAAAGAAGAAGTCTTTTTACACTCTTTTCCAAAAAAAGTGGTAAATGACTTCTTCTTGCCATCAAGTCGACTTAATGGCTACCAAGATTTCCATGTCAAAACAAATGAGTGAGCACTTCTACTATTAATGTTACTACTATTAGCTCAGCATTATTCATAAAAAAATTTCTATGTCAAAAAAAAATTTTTGTTTTTGTCAGAACAATATTTAATATAAATTACAATACTGTTTTTTTGTATCAAATGTCCCTACATACTAAAACAATTTATTTATTACCTAAAAAAAATTGCATAATAAAATAAACTTAATTTCATTGTGTCCATAGAACAACAGCTAAAAGTAATAATAGTAAAAAAATGATTTTAAGGGTAATAATAAAGTTAATTAATAACCAAAAGTAATTAACAAAAAATGAGTTGAAAAAATAAATATTGTGATAATGCTGTAGTTGTAGTAAAAAAAATTGATGCTATGAGTATTAACATAGAATTTTATATAAAGAAGAAAGTAAAAAAATATAAAAGCAATTAACAAATTAATTTAAAATTCAATATAAACTTATTTTTAAATAAAATCAACAATAAGTTAAACTTACCTTGTAACTTTGAAAACTCGAAGCAACCTTAAACATCTTAGAACTCTAAGACCAGCAACTAATGGTGTGAAAGCTTCAAATATGCTCAAAATAATAACCTATGTAATTTATCAGTAAAATATACATATATATATATATGCATATATATATATATATATAAAGGGTGTCCCAAAATTAACGCAAGATTTGAGTTTGCCGCCATTTATCCAGTACAGTGTTGCCAACCCTAAAAACAAAATAAATCGACAGTTGACAGTTTAGGGTTAGTAAAAATGGAGCGTTACGCAATAGAACAACGTGTCTTCATTGTTGAGCAATATTTCAAAAATAATGAATGCTTGGCGGCCATAGTTCGAAAATTTCATACAAATTATGGTCGGAATAGTGTTTTAACTTCGTCAACTGTGAAGCGATTAATTGAAAAATTCCGAGAGACAGGATCCGTGGGAGACGCCAAACACACTGGTCGTCCAAAAACAAGCCGTTCAAATGTCAATATAGAGGCAGTGCGTGCGAGTGTCGGTGACAATCCAGGAACCTCAATTCGGCGTCGTGGACAAGAATTGCAAATTTCAAGAAGCTCTCTACAGCGTATACTCACTAAAGATCTGTGTCTCCATGCTTACAAAATTCAATTAACACAACTACTGAAGCCCAATGACCATGCACAGCGAAGAGAGTTTGTTGAATGGATTATTGAGCAACAACAAATGAATGCTGATTTTTCGAGTAAACTCATCCTAAGCGACGAAGCACATTTTCACCTTGATGGCTTTGTTAATCGCCAAAATTGCCGCTTTTGGGGTTCTGAAAACCCACATGTGATTGTCGAAAAACAAATGCATCCACAACGTGTCACAGTTTGGTGTGCATTTTGGGCTGGAGGCATAATTGGACCATACTTTTTTGAAAATGAGGCTGGTCAAGCAGTGACTGTTACTTCTGCTCGATATCGCGACATGATAACACGGTTCTTTTTGCCGAAATTGGATGATATTGATGTGGCCAATATGTGGTTTCAACAAGACGGTGCCACATGCCATACAGCCCGTGAAACACTTCAATTATTGCATGAGGCATTTTCAGGTCGTGTACTCTCTCGTTTCGGTGATCAGAATTGGCCCCCTAGATCGTGTGATTTAACACCATTAGATTTCTTTTTATGGGGATATCTAAAATCACAGGTCTACGTCAACAAGCCCACAACTACGCGTGCATTAAAGGAGGAGATTCAAAGTTGCATCAACGAAATTCAGCCACATTTATGCAGAACGGTCATGGAAAATTTCGACAAACAAGTGCGTATGTGTATGCAAAGCCGCGGAGGCCATTTGCCCGATGTGTTATTCCATAAATAACCCTATCTTATGTACTTTATGAATCAATAAAAAAATTACAATCAAAAGACTAAAAACTGTGTTTTCTATTTAATTCAAATCTTGCGTTAATTTTGGGACACCCTTTACATATATATATATATATATATATATATATATATATATATATATATATATATATATATATATATATATATATATATATATATATATATATACGTATATATATGTATATATATATATATATATATATATATATATATATATATATATATATATATATATATATATATGTATATATGTATATATATATATAGTTATAAATCTGTGTTTAAATAACAACTATATATACATATATAAACGTGTATTTATATAAGTGTTTATATATATATATATATATATATATATATATATATATATATATATATATATATATATATATATATATATATATTTATTTATTTATTTATATATATATACACTTACTAAAGCGTATTTTTACAAGCATTTATATATATATTATATATATATATATATATATATATATATATATATATATATATATATATATATATATATATATATATATATATATACGTATATATATGTATATATATTATATATATATATATATATATATATATATATTAGGGTAGGTCGATTTTACTTCCGCATATTGCGTAATACTGCAGTAATTGGAGACAGTTGAAATATGATTACCCTCAAAGTTTGAAAGATTTTTGATGAAGATTCGCTTGCGGATTTAACTTTTAAGATTTGAAGGATTACGCAAAAAAACACCTTAAAAAACGTTATACAAGAAAACTGACGTTTTAAATATGTTCATTTCAAAAATGTTTTTAATATTATTTGCATTGCTAAATGATTTAAATTTATAATAATTTATAACAATTAAGTTAAATTTATAACAACTTGTTAATTGTTTAAAGACTTTATCAGTGAATCTTTTATCCTTATATTTACATAAGAATATTACAATAAACAATAATTTCACAATTTTAAACATTTTGAACAGGAATATATATTTTTAGAAAAATATTTTCAATTAAAAAATATCATCATAAGAATGGGAATAATGTCCTTTTGAAATATATGGTTTACGCATCTTCCTGCTTAGTAATTTGGTTAAAATGCAACTGTGTTGATTCTCGAACCCATAAACATATTGGGATGCTTCCGATACTAGTTTTACCGCTCGCTCAACACTCTGGGAGTGAGATGGAAAGTCGGAAATTTCAGGTTTAACGTTATTGTCAATCATATATTGGATTTGCTCAATTGAAAAATGTTGTGTTGTAGGGGGCTCCGTAACTTTTGTAATGCTGATGTCAACCAACTCATACCAATGATTAGCATTAAAATTAATTTCCGGAATTTTCATCAAATTTACTTTCAAAATTTCGTTGTTTACTCTATGAGTATAAACCGAAGTCAATTACCACATTTAATATAAATTTTTTCAAAACTTTATTTTAGTTAACTATAAAAAATACCTTTGCCTTAGAGCCAGTAGGATTTGAAAACCAAAGTTTCGTATCTTTTTGTCATTATCTTTTAGCATGGCATAAAGAATATTTTCAGGTTTTAGGCACAATGCATTTTTTTTGATGTTTTTTTTAACAATAAGTTTAACATCATCAAAGGGGAGATTATTTATTCTAGTAATAGTAGAAAAAATAAGGCGCGGGGATTCGTGGAATTTTGAAGATTTTTTTATTTCGAACCATGCTGGAGCATAAACTTGAACAATAAAGTATACAAGTTTTTTTAAAGAAACGGTTGGTTGATTGTCTCTAGTATATAAACAGAGAAGGCGAATAGCTAGAGTTAACCACCTTGCATGGTTAAGCAGTCCAATTTTATAGGCAGCCCATTTATCAGAAACTTTACCAAAGCCTATTCCTTTGCAATATTCAAACAAAAGTCTTTGATCGCAACTAAGGTCTATTAATATTTCTTCTGGAATATATCCATCTACTATTGGGTTTTCAATACGTTCAAACAAAACTTGATTTCTATCCTGAATATTTTCAGCACATCTTTTGCCAAGTAGACCACTGAAGCTTCTTGGCCCAGTTGTGTCACCATCAAGTTTTATAAAAAGAGCTCGTAACGGAAGTTCGTTTTGATGTAATGCGCATCCAATTAGGTGTAGTTTTCTTTTTAAAAGCTCTTCTAGTTTTACCACTAAGCCACTTATTGGTCCAGTATTGGTAGCTGTATTATCAAGAAGAACAGCTTGTATACTTTCCAAACTGTTATATTCTTGTAAAACACTGAACTTTTCGGTAGCAAGAACTAAGCCTGTAGCACCAGTAACAGGAATCGTCCTATGAGTCAAATAATTTCCACTCGATTTTCGATCTTCATAAGTAAATGTGAGGTGATGTTCAGGTTCAATGCATTTCTTTAGTACTTCTCCTTGAGGTGAGTTTATTATTTTACTTGTTTTAGTTATCTGATCGAGCTTGCCATCAACCCCAAGACAAATTAACTGTTTTTTTTGTTCTGAGTCCACATCTTCAGTAACAGTTTTTACTTTTGATTTGGCTCTATCTAATTTGCATTTGTCAATCAAAATATCTTTTATATCAACATCGTCTTTCAGGAGATGTTTAATGTCATGTAGTAAAGCATTTGCTAGAGCTGCACCTACGTTTGACGAGCACTCGTCTAAGTTTAACCAAGTTGTATTTTCCAATAGTATTATTTATTGGTTTCCATTCACCTTCATCCTAAAAAAGTTAAAAAAATAAAATGCTTTATATTTCATCTACTACGAATATATCATGTAGTTATAAAACATTTACTTCCGCATTGGATAAACCACTTGCTTCTTCAACTAAGTTTACATGTGGTATAGGGGATTCATCTTCATCAACTAAATTATGAAATATTTTTTTTCGTTCTTTATCAAGTTTTTGAGTCTTTTTGACAGATAATCTATCAACGGAAGAAAGTTGATATGCACCTTTTGGACCAATTTTTTTTCTCTGATCACGAAGATAAGCTCTGTCTTCAAGAGGTACTTTATTACTTTGAGAGCAAAGGCATACAATATGTTCTTCAATGCAATTTTCTTTATTGCAAGAAACTTTTCTATCACTACAGGGAAACACATCTAATGAACAGGAACACGCAGAAATATCAAAGAGTTTGTCCAAGTTAGCATCAAGATTTCTTTTAGCGCTTGCTTTTCCGTGCTTGCGATTAATATCCTTAACAAGTACGAGAAGATCTTTTACTTTCCTATTAATAGATTTGTCAGTTATAAGAGGTAAACTTGGGTTTACTGAAGCCCAAATTGATTTTATATTATTGCTAATTTGCTGAGTCACTGATAAGATATCTGCATTTGGATTCACATGAATTAGATAGTAATAGTACTGAATAACCTGTCTAAAAGTGCTTGGATCTGTCATTGATAATTCACATGGGCCACCGCAATACTTTTTTTCACTTTTCATCCGTGTAATTGTAGTCGTAACTTTCGGCATTTTTGTATACTAATAATATATGTAAACTCTATTAAAGTATAGCACTTAGAGCCATGGGCCACGGCGTGACTTTTTAGTGGGGGAGGGGGAAAAACACCAAAAAAACCTAAAATATCAAAACTTACTACAAAAAATCTAGTTTTTAAAAAAAGGTCCTTTTGAAAAAATCTGGGGGCCATAGCCCCTCAGCCCCCTTTTCCCCCCGTTGCCGTGGCCCATGAGAGTATAAGTTATTTATGAATTAAGTTAACATTAGTTCTTTCTGAAACTTTTATATTTTAAAAGGTGCAAAAAAAAATTTTTGTTATATTAATCAGTAAAAACATTACTGTTAATATATTAATCATAAGTATTTACCTTTGATATTTAACTATTTCTTTAAATTGTAGTTTTATATTTGAACCTTTTAAATACTTTACTTTTCAATACTTAAATACTAAAAAATTTAATTTTAAGACCAACATTTAACGATTAGCAAAATTGAAATTTAAAAGCGTGTAAACGATTTAGCGAAAATTTATTGGCTTCTTAAAACAATTGCGCTTTTTAAAATATCGTTAATTGGTTACTCTAAAAATTCGAAACGAGATACTTTAAAACGAGGTTACTAGACTTAAAATAAAATATTTCAATGTTTGAAATAAACAATCTAACAAAGCTAGTCCAATATTAAGTCTTGAAATGTAAATCCGCAAGCCATTTTTAAACCAGAACACCTGATATTTGGCAAAACCTTATTTCTAAGCTAGACACAGTAACTGCAACATTACGCAACTCAAAATTCAAAAAAAAAGCTAAAATCGACCTACCCTAATATATATATATATATATGTATATATATATATATATAGTTATAAATCTGTGTTTAAATAACAACTATATATACATATATAAACGTGTATTTATATAAGTGTTTATATATATATATATATATATATATATATATATATATATATATATATATATATATATATATATATATATATATATATATATATATATATATATATATTTATTTATTTATATATATATACACTTACTAAAGCGTATTTTTACAAGCATTTATATATATATAATATATATATATATATATATATATATATATATATATATATATATATATATATATATATATATATATATATATATATATATATATATATATATATATATATATATATATATATGCCACGAAATATTGATAGCAAAATACAGCTTGGTCAAAATTTTGTGGAGTTACACTTGTTTTGTCCAGAAGGAAATCAACTTTTTTTAATACTTTTGATTGATTTATTAATTTTCGTGTACAAATAATGAACTTTGTGATGAATAAAACTTGAAGAACGCTGTCTCTAAGCAGTTACATAGTTATTATATATATATAACTATTGTATATGTATATATATATATATATATATATATATATATATATATATATATATATATATATATATATATACATATATATATATATATATATATATATATATATATATATATATATATATACATATATATATATATATATATATATATATATATATATATATATATATATATATATATATATAATATATATATATATATATATATATATATATATACATATATATATATATATATCTATATAATATATATATATATATACAACTATTGTATATGTATATATATATACCCATATAGTGTAGTCGAAAGAGCGTTTTAATGTAAAAAAAGTCTGTTACGACTACAATTTTAATTACCTCGTCTCTTAAGCTGTTTTTGATTGTCATCGAAATGTCAAAGCAATTAATTTATGCGGAAGTACATTAAATTTAATTGTTTTTTAAAAAATTTTCAAAAAACCGCAATTATAACGACTAGAAAGTTTTTTTTAATTAGTGGTGTTTTTGTTATTGATTTAATAAAAAAACATTTTTAAAACATGCGTAAATGTTGCTACATCGACTATCTTATAGCCTGACTCGCAACGGAGTGCTGCTACATCGACTAACAAATAGCCTGACTCGCAACGGAGTGCTGCTACATCGACTGACAAATAGCCTGACTCGCAAGGGAATGCTGCTACATCGACTGACAAATAGCCTGACTCGCAAGGGAGTGCTGCTACAACGACTGACAAATAGCTTGACTCGCAAGAGAGTGCTGCTACATCGACTGAGGGTTTGGTTTGGCCAGGCAGTCTATCAATTAAAAAAAAAAATTTAATTTTCAAAACTGTTTCTGGTCTGGTTTATTAATGCGCTCTTTAAAACTACAGTTTATGGGAAACTTTTTTTGATGCCATGCAAGAGACATGCAAGAGTATATATATATATATATATATATATATATATATATATATATATATATATATATATATATATATATATATATATATATATATATATATATATTATATAAATATATATATATAATATATATTATATATATATAACTATATATATATTATATATATATAGTTATATATATATATATATATATAATATATATTAATATATATATATATATATAATATATATATATATATATTATATATATATATATATATATATATATATATATATATATATATATATATATATATTTTTAATTTAAACAATAACAAAACAAAAAAACAATTAAAAAAAAAAACAATAACAATCAATCAAAATATTTTCACTTAAATATCTGCATATATATACACTTGTGAGGAACATTTACAAACAGTTCAAAATTGATGAGGTGTAAGGACCTATGATGAGGTGTAAGGACCTATGATGAGATGTAAGGACCTATGATGATGTGTAAGGACCTATAATGATATAAAAAAATTATTAAAAATAAATAATAATAGCTATAATATTATTAATAACAATTACAAAAATAATATTAACAACAATAGAATTAGTTGTGTTATTTATAAAATTAATAATAATACCAAAACAACAACAACAATACAATGGCATAGAAGTGGCAGTTTGAGCAATAAAAAGGGGAAGGTATAACTACATCAGCTATAACTTATATATTTAATAAATCAGAAACACACACATACGCATGTATATGTAAACACAGTTACATTCCAGCTAGCACGCATACGTTGGCCAACGTCGAAAGCGTTAGGCAATTTTTTTAACTATGTGCTAACGTCGAACCAAAGTCGGGCAAACGACGTAATACAACTGATTTTATAATGCGTATAATGTGTTACAGGCTTTAATGCTAAACTAGTTATTGGGCATTTTTAAATGTTGTTTTATTTATAATCGAATTAAAATTAGTATATAGACCATAACTCATATATTCTTTGATAAATGTTTATTTATATACATATTATTAAGCTTGTTTTGAGAAGCTGCCATGCAAATTAATAAGTGCCTTGAAGCAAATGTTGCAATTATTGAAGATATTATAAAGCCATTGTTAAAATATGAAGGGATCATCATGCAGGAGGAAGGAATGATGACAAGGAAGATGATAATGATAACGGTAACTGATGTATTTTTATATGAAAATATTATGAATGTAATTCATAATATTTCACTATCATTATATTTACATTATGTAACATATTACTAATATATATATATATATATATATATATATATATATATATATATATATATATATATATATATATATATATATGTATGTATATATATATATATATATATATATATATATATATATATATATATATATATATATATATATATATATGTATGTATAGAAATTAGAAAAGTTCTTCTCAAGCAAATTAAAGACCCAAGATTCGTAAGGAAGCTAAGCAGTCGAAATAAACATTATTTTTTAATATGTGTATAATTTATACGAATATTTTAACGTTATTATAATGATTATTACAACAAATTTGGTTTTCTGTGTTATTATGAAATCAAGTTGCTTCATTTATCAGCATAAAAATCAATTCTTGTTTATAGCGAAAAAAATTATTAAAACTTTTTTTGAGAAAAAAAAAATCAATGTAATAGTTTTAATGAACATTACATAAGAAATAGTAAGCACCTGCTTGCCAAATGAACCAAATTTTTAAAGATTTATATATAGATTAATATTACATTGGAATAACATTATAATGACGCTTGCCCAACACCGGATGTCGACGTTGGGCCAACGTTAGCCCAATGGTTGGCTGTGACATTGTGCCAACTAAATCCACGTTGTGGCGACATCAGTTACCAACCATAAGCCAACAAATTTTTCAACGTTGATCCGACATTGGGCTAACATTAATGTGCTATCTGGGATATTACATGAAAATATATGACTTTGATAATAATGTGTAAGAACTTTATTGAGTGTTTTTGAAGAGTATAACAATTAAAAAAAAAAAAATATTGTTATTTAAACAAAAATATTATACTTTTTTCGTTTGTTTTTCAAGATATTTGAAAGCTTGAAAGAGCTTTAAATTTAATTTCTTCCATTTTAAGTAAACTGAAATAATTTTCAAAGAAATTGATATATTTTGTATTGAAAAGAAAAGTTTTACCTTTACCACTATACACACATACCATGGTATGTGTGTATAGTGATACACACATACCATGGTATGTGTGTATTATAGTGATACACACATACCATGGTATGTGTGTATAGTGATACACACATACCATGGTATGTGTGTATAGTGATACACACATACCAGGCACAAACTCACAAACACATAAATATATATAAAATTTAAAAAGTATAAAAATTAATTTAATGTTACAAATGTAAAGAATTAGAAAAACTTACAATTAATTCAAAGACGTTGAGTGAAGATTGACAATATCCATGAAATGTTAATGCAAAGACTTTCATAAGTAACTCAACAATAAAAATACTGATAAAAACCTTTTCAGCTATTTCTAAATATTGAGTATTGTTTAGCAAAATACATTAAAAGATAAAAAATAAATAACTGTAAAACACATTACATTTATATAAAAAATAAAGATGTAAAAAATATAAAACATAAACCAATATACAAAAGTTTATTTAGTAATTTCATATGCAAGTTTTTATTTTTATTGATTTTCTTTTTAATAAATTTACTAGCGACATATCAACAAGCTAATAGCATTGATGATCAAGCAAAATATTGGATTTTGGTTGGTGAAAAAAGAAATGATTACTAAAAAGAGAATGATTAAAGAGGTGATAAAAAGATGACCAAAAAGATAATAGTTCGCTTAAGCAGTAACAATGGTAGTATATCAGTTATAGAAAATATAGTTTATCAAACTGTGATGCAACCTAGAATTTTTTTTAAAAATACCAACATTGAAATGAAACTTTAATGTTATTATTATTTTTTAATGTACATTTTACAAATCCTTGTTTGTGTTTTTTAATTACAAAATTTTTCTCCTTAATTACCTCATAAACCTTCGATAGAAATCTTCTGACTGATGGTATACCAGTAACGACACTCAGTTTAAATTGTAAAACAGGTTAATGCCAGAAAAAACATTAAGAATTTGAAAAAAAAATTTTATAACTTTATATTATAAATAGTTTTGTGAATTGAGAATATTTACAAAATGTAAAAATTCAAAACCACTTAGTACTTAGTACTAGTTTTAACTTGCTATGAAAAAAGTGATAATATACTAAAGTTATTTGCAAAAAATAACCAATAAAATGTTATATAATAATTAAAAGATTTAAAAACTTACTATGTGTATCATCGAGCCATTTTGGTTCTTTATAATGGTATGTTGCCATGACACCAGTATTAACAAAAACAACAGCAATAACAAACCAAAAAAAAATCTCATTCTTTATAATATTTCGAACTTTCAAACGTAAATGTTTTATAGTAAGTTGAAATGTATGAAGATTGTACATTTGGTTATTTTTTAACATATTTTCATTTGAACTAAATAATATTGCTGAATTTACTGCAGTATTTTTGTTAGAAACAACATTATTTATGCTTTCAGAGATTTTCTTAGAATATGCTTTTTCATCAGTGATCAACAGTTCTTCTATATTACACAAAACATCAACAAAAAAAAAATACTTTATGGTATTTAAATTAAAAGAATTTTAAAAAATTTACTATTTCAAAGAAATTTATTCATTTTGGTACCTAAGTATTTACTTTACATACAAAAAAACAGTCTACAATTTTCAAAAGTATATTGAAGCATTAGAGAACATTTCAGAGTTTTTTAATTAATAAAATGTTCTTTATTTTATTATCATTTTTTATTTTATTCAAAATTTATTTACTTTATAATTTTTTTCATTTATGATTATTTCTTCTATACAAAATATATATGTTGTACATACTAGTTTTTTATATATTATGCACACACACACACACACACACACACACACACACACACACACACACACACACACACACACACACACACACACACACACATATATATATATATATATATATATATATATATATATATATATATATATATATATATATATATATATATATGCATATATAAAAAATAAAAAAAACTTAAATCAATTTCTTGTAGCTTTAATTTAATTCGATCAATCAAAACTTGCTATGTTGAAACTTGCCAATCTTTCTTATAAACCTTCTGTGCCAAAGTTTGTCCCCAAAAGTTTTCAATTGGTCATACTTGAGGCACATTCAGGGGATTGATTCTTTATCAACGTAATAGACATATTGGTCCATCCAATATAGAGAATCTTTAGAATGAGAATTTGCTGAATCTGGCAAAAATAAATAGTTTAAGTCCCCAGATACTTGTGAATGAATGGAAAAAGTCATTTTTCTAAACATTCATCAATATAGATCTATGAATTAACTGCTACAGCCTTGGAAGTGCAAAACAATAGCTCGGACATACCACGGTCAGATATGGCTATCCACATTAATAATTTTTTGGGGAATTTCTCTTTTCCTATAAAACAAATAGTTTCTTAGCATGTTTTTTTGTTGTTTGTGTAGTATTTTGAATTTCCAGGCATGTTGTCCCCTGCAAAACAAAAGTATTTTTTGTCATCAATGACCAGAAGCGATTTTGTGTTATAAAGTAGGTTAACTAAATTCCCGCTTTCTTTCTTTGCCTTTAATTATTGCTCTATAGTGTATTTTAGAGTCTTTTCACGTTTTCTATATTTATTATTCATTTTTTAAACTGATGACCAAATGTCAATTGATTTACACCAAATTTAAAACCTATTTTTTTCTGACTGACCCCTTTTCAATTGTTGACAAGTCTCATTAGGCCGGCTTTCTTTTCTCTAATACAGGATGTTAGATGACCAGGGTGCTTTCTATCAAAAAAGGATTGAACAGATTCAAGTCATTTTAAGTTATCATGTACTGTACTTCAAGCAAACTCTTCATTTTCAAAATAACTTATGATTTCTGTTATTTTTATATTTGGTTTATTTACAAAAAACATTTTGAGTCACTTTCAAAAAGATTCTTGTTCAGCTGCATTTAACCTCATTTTAAATAATTGTGTTTCAAATAATAAAGTTTATATTTTATAAAACGTTTATGCATACGCATAAAACCACAAAAACAAATTATTATGCTCAAATTAATAAATTCAGATTTGTCTAATAACTACCGCATCACCCATTAAAATTTCTTATGAGTCTTTATTGATGAAACACAGCGTTAAATTAAAACTTTTGTTAGGTGATTTTTTACTAATTTACTATTGCTCTGTTCTTTTAAGAACATTGAACACTATACTTTGTATAGTGTTCAATGTTCTTAATATATATATATATATATATATATATATATATATATATATATATATATATATATATATATATATATATATATATATATATATATATATATATATATATATATATATATATATATAAATTGTTGGTTTTGAGAGTATTGACAACAAATTACATCACTTTTTATTACTTTTGACTTTCGTCCAACACTTATGTGTAAAAGTTAAAACTAGAGATGCCATGAATATTTGAGATGATATAAAATAAATTTGATGACCATTTGGTATTCTGCCTATTTGACTACTTTTTTACTATTCTGTATTTTTTATTCAGTATTTGGGTGAATATTGCTAACTATTTGGCTGAATACCAGATTGCAACGAAAAAAATGCATAAAAATTATTATATATAACTATTATTTTTATTCATTATTATAACAAATAATTAGCACATTTGATACTAATCTATAGATGGTAAGTTGATATGCTGAAAACCTTTTCATCATTTGATGATAGCATGGTACATACTTTCAAAAACAGCCACTCACTAGATACAATGCAATAAAAATATTTTTAGCAAGTTCTGTTAGGATAATGTTTTGTATTTGCTGACCATCTTAAGCTGACCAATTTAAGCAAACAGTTTCATGAAAAAAACAATTTTATTTGCATCGCCTTTTTTTTAAGTGAAAAGTTAATTTAATACAATCAGAGTATAATACTTTTATGCATTACTTTAGTTAAAAAATTTGATCTAACAGTCGGCAAGTAATGCCTGCTATGACATGACCTAGTCATAAATGAAACAAAAATATTCACAGTGTAATTGACATATACACTTCAAGAAAGTAGGTTGACAGGTTATAAGAACCCTCAAAGCAACTAAGTGTTGCAAATATTGAGACGCCGAATATATGGTATTCAGTATTTGCATTAGTTATTTTAAACATTTTATCGTAGATTTTTGCTTTTTTTAATAAAATAGTTCCAACTTAATATTGCATGTTTTTTTAGATACACTTGAACTTGCATGGTGTAACTGACAATGCTTTTTTTTTATTCTTTACAACTTGACAATAGCATTTTTGATGTTTTAACTATTTAAATGCAATAAAAAAAAGTTGCTACGTTACAAATAACTTTTAATTGTTGATCTTTTTTTTTATGAGAAAGTTTTTATTTTATGAGAAGGCGTAAAATAAAAACTTTAAAAGCTTTAAAAAACTTTAAATAAAATCGAAAATTATAATTTAAAATAAACGCATTATGTGTAAATTATATTTAATTTGTTTTTAGTAGGTATGTATTTTTTGTAATAAATTTAAATGTTAGAAACTATTTTTAAAATAGTTTCAAACATTTAAATTTATCATAAAAAGTCTTTCTAAAAATCTTTTATTAACAGATTATTATCTTCAAGTTATTCTAAATAATGAATAAATCTTACCAAGATTTAATTGCTTTTTTTGTGTGTGTTTCTATTTTTTTAGTTATTATTTTTACAAAGAATTGTTTAAAAGTTGTTGTTTTTTTAAACTTGACTTTTAATCAAAGAATGAAATGGTTAAAAATTACAATCTTAAAAAGACAATATTGATTTTTTAAACTTTTTGAAAAAAATGTTTAAACAACTTAAAAATATTATATTTTTTTCTTTTCAATAATTTAATTTCACTTTTCAAAAATTTAAATAAAACTTGTTAATTCATTAAACATTCAATAGAAGTAATTTGTAAAAGCGTTTTGCGTAACTTTAATAAAACGTTTTAAAAGATAAGTTTTAAAGTAATTTATTTCAAATGCAATTAAAAACCTAACAAAAAGTAATTTTAACATTGAGTTTTTTGAGTTTGATTTTAAAACTTTTCATTTATTTTCAATTTACTTTACTTTTAATTTTTATATATATACTGAAATATTTATTTTGTAAAAGTTAATTCCCTTCAGTCAAAATGTTTGATTACTTTGTCGATTGATCGGACAATTTGAGGTTTTACCCAGACAATGTCCGATGTCCGACCGTTAAATTGAGCCTTGATATATTTATGTATATATATTAGGGTGGTTCTAAAAATAATATTTTTTGAAAATGTCTGATGGCACCCCCTAAACGTGTTCTATGTAATAAATTAATACTACATTTAAAAAATTTTGAATTACGGAAAAAACAACAACAAATCAGTGGAATGGGTTCTGACGTCAAAACAAAACAATTTTTGATTAAAAAATTTCTTAATCATCCGTGTTGAATCGGGCAAGAAGATACTTGTTTTAATGTCTGCACTTAGATACTATTTCATACTTTTTTGTTTAACAGATTTCGATTTTTGGAGAATAGAATTTTAATATTTTTCGTTTATGCATAGTTTGCAGAATTGCGTGGTAGGGTTGTAAGAATTGTATTGTTTAATTATTTTCCATTTAAAAACTGGATTTAAATTTACATTTTATAACTTCCAAAATTCTTTTGATAGTTTAGTGTCACTTTTGTATTTAATAATGTTAAATGATTGGGGTTTCAATTATTGATTTAAAGAATAAATATGACTGATGATTGCTGAAAGGCATGAAACTTTAAGTATTATCACAAAGTTGTATTTTTTCAAATAATCTAACACGATTTAATTTAATACTAATCCATTTTGTAAATAATTTACATTATATTGATCACTCTTAACAAACAAGAGACTTTGTATCTTAATTTGATACAACAAAACTTGATACAAGTATTGTATTTTAACTTGATAAAACAAAACTTTTTATAAGTATACATAATATATTATATTATGTATACTTATGTATTATATCTTATATATATATATATATATATATATATATATATATATATATATATATATATATATATATATTATATATATATATATATATATTATACATAGGTATACATAATACAATATATTATGTATACTTTTATCAAGTTTTGTTTTATAATATACATAATATGTTATACTTTATGATAATATATTTTATATAGTATACATAGTATATTATATATAATATATGATACATATAAATATAATATATTAGTATTAGTATTAGTATATATTTGTTACAACAAAAGTAAAAATAATTGACAAAATACAAATTGTAGATTGTCAGATAACAGTTTTTGTGAAGATTTTTTTGTCTTTAGGTGAGAAACCAAAATCTGAACCACTCAAGAGAGGTGGAATAACAGACGTTAGAGAAAAGAAAAAGTTGTGGGCATTAACACCTTTAGAGTCACTGACACTAGAACAAAGCTATTCAGTGTAACGAGCATTAAAGTCATCAACATCAACAATTTTGGCTGAAGGACAAAGAAAAAGGGCTTGGTCAATATGACCAGAAATAACACTGAAAAGAGAGCAGTCTTGAGATGAAGGAGCGCAATATAGAACAAAGAGAAAAGTGATAGAGTGAAGTGGTGCTAAACAAAAGTACATAAAAGAATAGTCTGTGAATTCAAACACAGATTCCCAGCAAATGGGTAAATTCTAATGAAATTAAATGTCCAGGTTAAGCATTGTTGAAGTCATTACCAATTAAAGGAAGATAACCATCAACACTAAGATCACAAGATGAGACACCTGAAGTCAAATTAGTTTTGCAAAGAGCAAGTAGGTCTAGTGAACTTTCCAAGATATAAGTCTCAACAGAAAAAAAGTTACTTCAAAGACCACAAATATTAGTGAATGATAGATTTAGAGAACTTGTTCATGACAATGTTTTTTGTGTTTTATAGTTTTTGGTACTTTTTTATTTATTTTTAGATTTCTTAAAGAACTTGACTCAAAGCGCAGATAGTACTCAGTGCACTATTTAATAGTCCAAGTAATTGCCTCATTACTAGAAATTAACCCTAAGCCAAAACAAAGGGCTCCTTTGTTGCCTCAACAATGGACACCAAAAGTATGAACAGGGACACCATCCATGCACATCATAGCACTGTTAGTACTCTGATACTTTACTGCTGTTTATGAAATCCACCTCTCTGAGAGCTGCCACAGAGTTTGAGAAATCTCAGAACCATAAAACTGAGTTTAAGAGATGCTCCCTCATTAGGATAGATATCAGATATCAGAATGAGTCACCTAGTTATAGAAATACAGACAAGCAAAACCCATGATTTGAGTCAACTTGAAATATGATTTTAACTGATATAATTTGAAAAATTTGTCAAACTAGTAAACAAACAAAAACAAAATTCTAATAAATTTTACTGTCTCAAAATGTTTTATTTAAAATATAACTTCAAATAATACACTGATACAAAAATTTAAATTGTAGATTTATTAAATTTATTAGCACTAGCAGCTTTTCAAAAAATCATCAGTAGTGTTGTTGTTGTTGTTATAGTTGCAAAATCCAACTCGTTTCTCTGCGCAGCAGTTTTGTTTGTCAAGGTTCGTGTTTCAGAGTTATAGAGTTGAGAGAGGGTTATAACCCTCTCTCAACTCTATAACTCTTGTTTTGTTTCATCCGAGTTAGTGAAACTGATTATAATGTTATTATTTATTTTTTAGCTAATATCAAGGCTGATAATAAAGTTATTATTTAGATATTCAAAATTTAGAAAATTAATGCATTTCTATGCATGCATAACATATTTCAAGCTAAAAACTAGAAAGCCAATTTTTAACTAATTTGGTAAATTCTATATTAGAAGCAATTTTATCAGACATTAAATCATTTAAAAAATTTTCTTTTGTATGATCTAAAACTCTTTACCTCCTTTTGAAATCCATTTCAAATAAAAATCAGAAGACCGTTCTAACTGCTTGTCTTGTCGCAGGTTAATAAATGCTCGTCTGTTTTCAACTTTTAATCTTTCTTTTGCAAACTCTCTATGAATCAAATTTAAAGACTTAGAGGCATAAAACCATTTTATTTCTAATAACAATTAAATAATTTACAATTATTAATAGTCAATGTGTTTTAAAAAATAAAAATATTTTTAAAAGTTTATGTTTCATATTGAGATAAATATAGGATATATGCTGATACAGTTCCTAAAAATTGTATGTCAATAATAATAATAATAATAATAATAATAATAATAGTAATAATAATAATATAAAATAGTATGTGATATATTTATTAATAATGTTTTTATATTTATATGTTTATATATATATATATATATATATATATATATATATATATATATATATATATATATATATATATATATTTATATATTATATATTAATAATATATTCATTAATAATTTTTTTCTTATAACTTTTTTGTAAAGTTGTTATAGAAAAAGCCATTTTGTCTTATTCTTTATCCCATTCACCATTTTGCACTATTTTCCTCTAATTATTTTTATAATGATTTATAATTTTATATCAATTCACCATCTTGCCCCATCTTCCCTAACTATTTACTCAATATTTTTGCATAATTTGCTTTTGGTTTTTTGACCTAATCTTAATAAAATATAAACAAAAATTAACAATATGCACTAGAAACCTATATAAACGTAAATAAATTAGAACAATAAATTATTTGTTATAAATTAGTCTATTGGTTAACATGATTAAAGCACGTTATAAGAATGAAAATTTTCTGTTTGTTTTTAAGTATCTTTTCTGTAAAAAAATTATTGTTAGAAACTGTGCATAAACAAGGCAAAAAAAATTTTATTCAAAAATTTTTTTATTTAACCTTAATTATATTTGCTTTATTTTCAAATTTTTTGTTGCAAATTTTAGATTGTAATTACAATTGTTATTCATTTACTAACCATTCAGTTGCTGTTATTATTTATATTAGGTGTTATTACTTATATTAGGTGTTATTACTTATATTAGATGATATTACTTATATTAGATGTTATTACTTATATTAGATGTTATTACTTATATTAGGTGTTATTAAAAACTTAATAAAGGTAGCAATACAGTTTTGCAACAAACTGTATTGCCAATAATGGCATTACAGTTTGTTGGTACTGCAATTGAAATAGCGATTGTTTAAATGTGGTAATTATTAAAAGAAAAGCAAACTTTTGTGGTAGGCAGTATTTACTTTTTCGTAGTACCTTCTGTTACAAATGATTGTTAGGTAAGTTCATTGAAGTAACTGACAATTTAATTCTTATTGTTTGTCATTTGCATAAATTAAATTACTAGAATTTAGTCACATTCAAAATTGACCTGTTTTACAATATTACAACAATAATTTGGCATCATTATTTGATGCCAAAGCACTTGTAATTGTTTCTAAACTATTTTACGCTGCTAAGTGTTATTTAACTTTTGTAATAACCTCAATTTTCAAACATAGTTAATTTGGTTACAATTTTTTTTATTTAGTATAATTCAAATTAGGTATCAATGACTCAGGACCTATTAAAGAATTTGGAATACTTTGACTTATAAATCAAGCGCATTTTTTTCTATTTTAGTGGTATTTTTAGAAATACCACTTTTTTTCCAACTTCTTTTAATGTTTTATGTTTGCTTAATTACGTTAGTAGTTTAGTTTTGTGGTTGAGTTATATCATTTAGTAATATTTAATAATGAACCAACTATAAGTGAATAAAAATCATGTTCATAATTATAGCGAGCTATAAATAATATACACAACAAGCATTATAAAGCCATTATAAACAGTTTTTATTTTAAAAAAAAACAACACTAAAATGAACTTGAGTATGTTCATTAACTGTTTTGAAATTGAAAACTGATCTTAGTTTTGTAAGTTGCACTTTCAAAAACAAAATAATTTCTTTTCCTCTATATAAATACTTATTCCATCCTCATGTTTTCCATAATCATCTTACTTCCTGCTTTAAATTAAAATATGCTTTTGAACACATAAATTTTTTAGAGCTTAAAACTTTAAATAAATTTTTCTTAAAAATTAAAACTTCTTTAAAGAATTACTTTGTAGATTGTACTTAAGATGATAAGTGGATAAATAGGATGATGATTGGACAAATCAGATCGCTCTCCAGAATTTTCAAAAATAGAAATGACAGATGTTGCTTTCCAGGAGGACGGGCTGGGAAACTGGGCGCCGACCCAGCTGGTGTGTTGATACGTTGATAAAACGTTAAAACAATGGTGCGCTTTGTGATGGCCTAACCTAAAGCACCAACGTTATATTTTTATTAGAATTAATCACTTTGATCTAATTACAACCTTTTTCAATTTTTTTTCCAAAAACTAAATGCTTTTTCCTGAGTGTACCAAAAATAATAAATTTAACAAATTTTAAAATTTTTTAAGAAAATTCTAAATTAATGAAATTACTCTAGAACTATAATTGTAAGATTATATATTATCATTGAAATCGTAAGAAATATATTTTACCCGCTAAGCACACCAAGAACAAGGTTTAGCATAAAAAACGAACCCAACAAAATCAATGTTGTATAGTATGTTGACCAAATATATCCGTTTTGATCCATCACATCATGTGTCTAAAATATTAAAACAAAGATTACATATCTTTAACATTAATGTATAACTAAAAAAACTTACTAAAAAAAACTAACATGATACATAATATCCGACCAGCCTTCAGTGGTTACACATTGAAAAACAGTAAGTACTGAGAGAAAAATATTATCAAATGATGTAATTCCATAATTTACGCCAGGCACATATCTTGAGCATATTTCGCCTTCTCTGCATTTATGACCATGAACAAAGAAAGAGCCATTTATTAGATGATCACAAGCTTTTTTAATATCAACAACTAAATTTTAAAATTTAATAATTGTAAGCAATATATAAGTTAAATATTGCATATAAATATATAAATCAAATACTGGAAAAAGCAGAGCAAGTTGAGAATATTACGATTATTAAGTGTTTGGTGGCCATAAAAGGTACTCATATAGAAATATCTTTAATTTTTTACCATTCAAAAATATATAATACAATGTATTGTATTTTATATTCATGAGCAGATATAAAATGTTTGATTCTTTCTCAACAAACATATCTATGTGAGTATTTTAATGATACTGTAATAAACATATTAACGTGAGAATTTTTACTTTCTACTGTTGTAAATATACTTTAAAAAAGTTTAACAATTTATCAATTATTTTAAAAACCCTTTTTTTAAATTTTTTTACAAATATATAATAAGGATTCTACTTTTGAAACAAAATTACAAGTATTGTAATAAACAAGTATTGTAATAATTATGAAAATAAATAAAAAAAATTCAAATATTGTATTTCAATACAATTAATGCATGGTGTTTTAAAATGTAAAATAAAAACAAGAAAAAATATGTATATATAAACATAACTAAAAAGTAAACTTATTTAAATAAGCTGAAACAGTTTGAAAGGAAAAAGATTTGAAAAAGAGAATAAGCAACAATAAAGGAAATAAAAGTTGATTGGATTGAAGTAAAATCATTACTTTAATGAAACAGTTAAAAAAAAATCATAATAATAAATAAAAATTAAACTGACAAAATGTTGAAAAGAAAAAGAAGTGATAAAGGAAAGAAGAAAATAAATAAAGAATATAGAATTTATTGACTTTATTTTGATTTTATATATATAAATTTTTTTTAAAAAGTACTTAAACTCAAACATAAACAAATAAAAAGGTGAAAACAAGAGATGTGAAAAATTAATTGAAAGGAAAAAAAGAATTAGGAAATTAATGAACTTTTGTTAATAATATTGTTTGTACTAGGCTTATAATTTAACAATGTCTTTTTTTAAGTTTGAATATTATTCATTTTTATTTGTTTTTATTGATATTAATTATATATATATATATATATATATATATATATATATATATATATATATATATATATATATATATATATATATATATATATATATATATATTAACATATTTATTTTAATTTTGCTTTGTAACTTTTATTACAAAGTATTATCTAATTAATTCATCTATAGTATAATACTTTTAAGATTTCTTGTTATTATTATGTTATAACTATTACACTTTACTACCATAATTTATAATTACCTTTATTATTTAAATATAAATAATTTTTACAACTGTAAGTTGTACATTAAAACTCATTTTAGTAAATAATTCCATTTCCTATCTTTAACAGTACAACTTTTTTGTTTCGCTTTTCAGGAAGTACTTCTACAAACATTTCCTATCTTTAACAGTACTACTTTTTTGTTTAGCTTTTCAGGAAGTACTTCTACAAACATCAACTGACAAACTTATACATACTAATGAACTCCTAAATAACTTTTCACCTTTTCCAAACACCACAAAATCTAATTTTTATAATGAACTCAACAACTTTATTTTCCATCAGTTGAATAACAAGAACAAAAATTTTGTTGCAAACCCTTTAAATTATAAGTATATCGACAGAGAACAAAAACTGTCATCATCAAAAAAAATTCTTTTTCCTATTTTATTCAAATATTGCTTCTGCTGTAAAATATTTTTATGAACTAAATTCACTATTATCTCTCTTTAATCATGAATCTCTTAATATTATTGCTTACGAACTTAATTAAGTTTTAGTAGTAGTAGTAGTAGTAGTAGTAGTAGTAGTAGTAGTAGTAGTTGTAGTAGTAGTAGTAGTAGTAGTAGTAGTAGTAGTAGTAGTAGTAGTAGTAGTAGTAGTAGTAGTAGTAGTAGTAGTAGTAGTAGTAGTGCTCCTTCGAGGAAGACTTAGCAGCCATTGCAAGCGAGGAAACGGCAAAAGAGTCACAGCACCTTTTTTACAAGAAAATGCAAACGAAAATGTATGCAAGTATCTAACTTATGTAAACTTTAAATTATGTAATGTTGAAACATATCAAGTTTTACAGTTTTACTTTCACTTGAAAAGAGCATTGCGGCAACATCTCCTCAATTTTGATTTATAGCATTAATATGCAATTTTATAAAGTCTTTTGTTCATTAAATAGAGTTAAAACGTTCATTGCACAATACCCCTTAGTGACAAGTGGTTAGTTTGCAGCATCCTGAAGTGAAATGCCATGGTTCAAGTCCTTGCGCTTTCAATTCATTTTTTTCAATCTTTTTTTGATTTTTATAAAAAATTTTAAAGTTTCATAGATAATATATATTATAGAATATAGAATTTATAGAATATAGAATTTTTAAAAAAGCATATTTTCTGTTTTAAAATTTTTTTAAAAACTCAAGAAAAACTTTTAGAAACAACTCTGCTTGCTTGTATCTTTAACAGTTTGGATTTTGCTTAAAACATTTTACTCATTATAACTTATTATTATGGATTTTTATTAAAACATTTTATCCTTATAATAGCTTTTGTGTTGGTGTAACTAAAATGGACTCATGGTCCAATTGGCAGTGGTTTGTTTGCTGTGCTGTTTTGATTAATAAATATTCAAAAAGTCTTTACATGGTTAACCACAACACTATAATAAAAAAGTTAAATTACTACATAATACACCCTTACGGAAATATTCCATGGAAAACCCATGGAACTCCATGAGTAAACCATGGTTTTCCCATGAAAAACGGGAATTCCATGGAATTTCCATGGGTAAATTTCATGAAAATTGAAATCCTATGGAATTTCCATGGGTGAACCATGTTTTTTTTTTTCATAGCTTAAGCTGCGCCATGGTTGTTACAAATGCGCTTTTAAAGATGGTGTCATAGCTCGTAGAGTTATGATTATTTTTAAATTAGAAAACAATACTTACTGCATTCTTCTGTTTTTCTGTGTTTAATAAGGCTATGAATTATATGTTTTTTATAATGCAATACATTTATATGATTTAACTAAACATACAGACATAAACAACTAGATATATTTATCATATTATAATGCATTATAAAAGGGATTATTTTTAATTATATTTTATTATATATCATTTATGCATATACTTATTTTAACTGTTTCCAGTAGCTTTGCTTACTTTGCATAACTTGCAATAGTATAGCAAGTATGTCAAGTAAACCAGTTTGAATTTTAATGCCTACTTGGCAAATTATTTGCCAAATAATTATTATTTGGTTTACAACAAATAAATGTTTAGTTTTAATCTACATTAAATAACTAGTGTATTAATGTACATAGTGTAATTTAATGTACATTCAAACTAGTATAATTATTATTATAAAACTTATCGAACGTATTAAAGAAACTTATTTAAAATATTAATATACAACTTGTATTACAAGCAGTATATTAGATAAGATTAGATAACTAAGATAATAAGATTAGATAACTAATGTACAAAAGATAACTAGTATGATCTTTTTTATTTTTTTTTTTATAATAGCCTTAGATTACATAAAAATGCTTGAAGTTTATTGTATCGTAAATGTTCATTAAGTATTAAAAAACATTTTTTTATGATAAATGTTCTATTCAATTTTAGTTCTGTTAAGTTGTTTTTGTCTTTTTGTTGTAGTTTTTTCTTTAGAATTATTAGAATATGTAAATAATGTAATATAAATAATGTTTATAAATTCTTTTATATTTACTTTATTATTTCATTTAAATTACTACATTATAAGCCAACAGGTTTGACTGGCAATATAAATAATGTTGTTCATCGTTTATATTGTTTATAACATCGTCAGTTTTTATATGCATTTAATATTTTTAAAAATAGTTCAAAAGCTGTCAAAATAAAATGGTGAATTGAGTTTAAACCAGAAAAGATATAAACGTAATCTTTGGGATTCAACTTGTAAGGATGTTCCAAGAACCACTTAGTTGGAGAAGGAAAACTGTGGTAATATTTTATAAGTATCAGTAAGGGAATTTACTTAATGCACAAGATTTTACTTCATAGTTAAGTATAAGCATATAAAAGCAATGTTTATAAATAATACACTATTATTTATTATAATACAATTATTTTTATTTGTTTATATTTAACTGATGTAAAGTGCTCGTCTTTAGTTAAAATAAATTAATTTATGCACACACTTTGATATTTACTATGCTTTTACATTACTATACTTTATAAATTACATATTTGTTATGTTTTAAATAGTGAAGTAAAAATATAATAAATTTTTGAATTTAATGGTATGTGCGTAAGTTCTTTTATTTTAACTTTATCATTTTATTTAAATTACTGCATTATAAGCAGGTAAGTTTGACTGACAATATAAATAATGTTGTACATCATGCAGACAGCTCAGACAAAGAAGTAAGTTTTTACTTAAAATTACAATTTATAAGTTATACTATATTTGTTGCTGCCTTATTCTATATAAATGTTACTAACATGCAGGTAAAATTTATATATGTGTATAAATCTTTTCATTTTAACCTTATCATTTCATTTAAATATAAATTTTTAATTTATTTATTTAGCCGTTCATTAACAAGTCCTGTGCTTTATAATATATTAAAAAATGGAAGGACGTGAAGAAAACAGGTTTGTAAATGATGTTGTACATCATGCAGATAGCTCAGAAGAAGAAGTAAGTTTTTTTTTTAATTACAAAAGTAAATATATAATATAATATTTGTTGCTGCCTTGTTCTATATAAATGTTTCTAACATGCAGGTAACATTTATATATGTATTAGTTTGAATAAATCATTTTAATAAAGTTACATTATAGGCAGGAATGTTTGACTGGAAATATAAACGATGTTGTACATAATGCAGATAGCTTAGGCAAAAAGAGGTAACAATCTAATAATTTGTATTTATAAATAATGATATATTCATTGCTACTTTTTTCTATATGTTACCTAACATTTGGCAACATTCATAATTGTGTATAATGCCTAATTATAAAGTAAGTTATAATAGATAATAATTATAAGTAAAATGAATTAGTAAATAAAGAAAACTAGTTAGAATGTATATAATAGTTGTATGATGTATTGTCTAGATTGGTGAAATGGAGAATGAGACTAACTAGGGTGAAAAAAAATGAATATTAATATGTGAATGGTACTTTGTTTAACATCTACCTGTTTCTACAGATACAGTACAGACGCATTTATAAATGGGCTTGATGTTTTTTTGAATTAAATATGTTGTATTGATGGTTCTTTTTAACTTGTTAAAACTTGAAGTTATTATCAAATTTATATATACTATTTTTATCAAATAGTTAATATAAAATAATAAACATGTAAATTGTTTTATTTTCTGTAAAAATTGTTTTCTTGATAAATTTCAATTGTTTATCACTATGTATATCACTTATAGTATTATATTACTTGTAATTTTTTGTTTTATTTATTTTCAGTATGTTATACATATGCGAGCATTAAATATTGTGGGGAAGTCAAGTTTTGATGTTTTAGGTGCATTATAGCTATTATTTTTCAAAGATTTGTAGGATTTAACAAGATTTAAATTTTATTTTGTTTATTGATTTTATTTGGAGAAAGCGATCTCATAGATTAAGAGAACTCAATAATATTAGTGTGGTAAAATTTGCTTTTATGATTTAATATGAGAATTCAAATAACATTAGATCATAAAAACTTGAAAACAAATCATGCTTTTTTACCATGAAAAATCCATAAGTTTACCTTGGAAAGGTGTTCCTAATACCTATGGAAATTCCATGGTTTTTTCATGGATGCAAAATCATTGAATATCCATGGTATTTGGAACACTTTTCCATGAAAAACTTAAAGATTTTTCATGGGAAATTCATGTGTTTTCCATGGAAAACTCATGGTTTTTCCATGGAAAACTCATGGTTTTTTCATGGGAACGTGTTCCAAATACCCATGGTTTTTCCATGGAAAACTCATGTTTTTTCCATGGAAAACTCATGGTTTTTCCATGGAAAACTCATGGTTTTTCCATGGAAAACTCATGGTTTTTCCATGGAAAACTCATGGTTTTTCCATGGAAAACTCATGATTTTTCCATGGAAAACTCATGGTTTTTCCATGGAAAACTCATGGTTTTTTCATGGGAACGTGTTCCAAATACCCATGGTTTTTCCATGGGTTTTTTTTCTAAAATTCCCATGGGAAATTTTCGTACGGGCAGGTATTGTAAACAATAGTTTTCTTTGTATATTAGGAATCGCACTCAATTTATTTCAATTAATGGTTTTGAATCCACACATAAAGTTATTAAATATGGTGTTTTAAAGTAAGAACCAGCAATTTTTTGAACATTATTTATAAAAATCAATTGCTTTAAGCAGGAGTACCTTTATTAGATCATAAAACTATAATGTGCAAAGTTTTCAAGTTGGTGTAAAACATTTTCACACGTATTTTCATATATAATGAAACATGAATAATTTTTATAATCTTTTAGACATACTTGGGTCCTGTAAAAATCAATAGTTTTACATAAAAATCATATATTTAGACAAATATATATAGAACATTTATAAAAAAAAGCATGGTTTTAAATGATGCAACTTATTTGGGTTTAGATTTAAGATATTTTTGTTTTTTTTAAAAATAAGATATTTTTGTTTTTTAAAAAAATTTGTTTTTTAAAAAAAAGTTAAAAAGAATTAACTTTTTTTTTAGCTTAAAAATTTAACTAAATACTGAAAAAATAATAAACTTTTGCTGGAATGTTTTTCTTTTTCTTTTATGTTTTTCTTATTTTTAATGACGCATTTCTTTGTAATTCTACAAAAAATTACACTTTTAAAGCAGTTTAACTATGTAAATTTTTTGAACTTATTTTCCAAATAAGCTTCTAGTTAACTTTAGATTTTTTTTTTGGAGTTAAATCTTATTTATTTTATAAATTATTTATTTCAGCCCTTGGTTTATCATTATGACACCAATCTTTTATATATTATTAAGTCATGTGCAAAGTTTTGTAAAATATTCCTCATTATTGATGTAGCTGGTTAAATGAATTTCATTGAATGCCAATAAAACTGAGTACATTATTTTTCAACTTCCTCAAAAAAAGATTTACAAAATAAAATTTAAAATTAACACGAATAAACTTCATCCATCAAAATACATAAAGTATCTTGGAGTTTATCTTGATAAACTTGGTATAATTAACTGTACCATGTAAGAAAAAAACTTACATGAGTATGCTTTCTTTAATTCAATGTTATGTTCCTAATCAAACACTTAGATTAATTTATTATTCTTTGTTTTTTTCTCATTTTAGCTAATGTTTTATTGTTTGGGGTCAAAAAAGCTTTACATCTACTAGAAAATTTTGCATCTATCAGAATATTGACTTTTTCACCAATGAGATCTGATATACAAACACAATTTTTTGAACTAAAAATTGTAAATCTCTGCAATCTTGTAAAATTTTATAATTTTCTTTTTGTATTTGATTATCTTCAAAAAAACTCTTTAATTTTTTTGTTGAAACAAATGAAATACATTAACACAGAAAATGGTAAGCTATATTATTTTTTCTTCTGATAGAATTAAATATGATAATAATTCCATAAATTAGAAACATTTCTTCCAATGGAACCAGTATATTCCTGCAATAAAAAAAGCTCCAGAAAAAAATATCCTTTCATTGATTACCTACTACTCAACAGAGCTCAACTAAAAAGTATATTTTTCGAGTGAATTTCTACATAATTTCTTTTAGTACTGAAAAGTGAATAACTTCTTCTACATATGGTCTGATATAAATATTTAGAAGTAATTTACTTTCATGACAGGAAGTAATTTACTTCTAACTATAGTGCTTACAGTTTTCGATTATAATAATATTGTTTATTGTTGTTTTTATTGTTTGTTTCATTTATTTATTTTTATAATAGTTTTCTTTATATATATATATATATATATATATATATATATATATATATATATATATATATATATATATATATATATTATGTAATATATCGGTCCTCCTACCCCGCTAATACTCTTAGAATTTAAGGATCATGCCACACAACAAACACCCATCCTTAACTCTAAAGAATAGAAACATTTTGAACCTTTACAAAATATATACATAATGCCAGACAGAACTGAAAATGAAAGATTAATTGAAGCCAAACTTAAAATTGAAAGAAACAATAGAAACAATGACCTTCCAAATGAAGTAGAAGGATCAAATGGAGACTTAAATGGGGAACAAAGTATGAAAAGAAAGTTTATTGGGGCATATGCTTTGGCACACAAATGGATAAAGCTCAAACAAAAAGAAATTCAGTAACTCTAAAGACATACATAAAAATTGTTTTTAAAAAATTAAGGAAAGAAAAGTTTTATCGTCGGGGATAATGCAAAACCCCGTAGCTAACATTGGATAATACCGCGTAAATACAGTACAGTTCTTTAATGGAGGTTAAAACTTTATTTTTTTTTTTTTATTTTAGTAGATTTTGGGTTCATTTTAGTATAAAGAGTTTTTTTCATGTTTTTTGTAATGTCAATAGGAGATATTTGGTGTTAAAATTATTAATATCCAAATATAGTAGCTAATGCTAGTTATGCGGATTTGAACTACCCCTGACGTTATATCTTTTTTAAAGTGTTTTTATTTTGATGCGACATCTATATGCAATAAATGAGATGAGTTTATTGTAAGAATTGAACAGCTTAGTTTTCCGTACATTACTGAGACTTGGTTCAACAGTATCTCTGAATGCAATATAGAAAATTACACACCTTATTTCAATAATAGAATAAATATCAGTGGTGTAAGAGTAGTAATTTATGTGTGAAATAATCTTTTATCTTATGAGATTGATCCTTTCTACTTAGTGAGCAAATTTGGTGCAAGGTCAGCATTGGTTCAAATAGTATTTTAGTTGGTTGTTTATACAGACACCCTCATGCTTCATATGACCTAAACAAAATATTTAATGACTTGATTAGAGAAGGGCATAGATTAGTCGATGGTAAAAATTTAATTAACTTATTAATAACAGGTAATCTGAATGACCCTGATATCTTTTGGGATGATACAGGAGGTATACGTTGTGGTAAAGAACGAGTTTCAAGCCGAAATTTTTAGAAACTATAAACAACTGTTTTTTATTACAAGCAGTTTATAAACCTAATTTTAAATCATGATCCTGTAAAACCAAGTAAAAATCTAGATAACTGTTACTTCACTATGAAAGACGATGTTGGAGCTGTTTTTAACCTTGACACAAAAAAAATTGAGCAAAATCTTGGTGTAATTTTTAACAATAAATTAAAATAGAATTACCACATCAGACATGCAATAAATAAAGCAAATATAATCCTAGGTATGCTTAAGCGCACATTCAAATCTTGGATGGGGCCTATTTTTGTTAGATTGTTTACAACCTTTGTTCGACCTCATTTAGAATACCGTGCATCTGTTTGGAATCCTTTTCAAAAAAAAGACATAAGGGCTCTAGAAGTTGTCCAGAAAAGAGCAACTAAACTTGTTCCAGCAAAAAAAAATTTATATTACAAATTCCGTCTAACTTATCTCAATCTATAGACTCTAGAATATATATATATATATATATATATATATATATATATATATATATATATATATATATATAGATATATATATATATATATATATATATATATATATATATACATATATATACATATATAGATATATATATATATATATATATATATATATATATATATATATATATATATATATATATATATATATATATATATATGTATATATATATATATATATATATATATATATATATATATATATATATATATATATATATATATATATATATATATATATATATATATATATATATATATATATATATAGTATATAAGTAAATTATAAAAAAATCATATGAATTAATATATTAATTTAAAATTATATAAGCTTTATAAATAAATAAATAAAAAAGATATATATATATATTTTTTAACTAGTTCTTTTTATTAGTATTTAAAAAACACAGACAACAATTTTACTCACATTCTCCAGTTGTTTTATTTTTACAGCTGTAATGAAATCTCTCAACCATAAATTCTAAACCTATGATAGCATATATACTAATCACAAAACTTAGAAGGAATAACACTTGTAACAAAGGAATAAGTGCTCTCATGATTGATGTCATAACAACATGCAAACCTAATAGAAGAGATCAAATAATAAAAATATGTATTATAAAAGTTAAAAATTAAAAAATAATAGTTTGTATAATAATGTTGATGACGATGATAATGATGATGATGATGATGATGATGATGATGATGATGATGATAATGATGGTGATGGTGATGGTGATAATGATGATGATGATGATGATGATGATGATCATGATGATCATGATGATCATGATGATGATCATGATGATCATGATGATGATCATGATGATCATGATGATGATCATGATGATCATGATGATGATCATGATGATCATGATGATGATCATGATGATCATGATGATGATCATGATGATCATGATGATGATCATGATGATCATGATGATGATCATGATGATCATGATGATGATGATTGTAATGATGATTATAATTATGATCATAGTGATTATTAGAATTTCTTTAATATAACTACTTGGAATTCCAGTAATAAGTTTAAGTGGACGTAATACTCTAATTGCACGCAGCGATTTTACATTTACTTGAGCCAAACCATTTCCAGGTAATGTAACAATACTAAAAGATATTTATTTTTTTTAAGAAAATTTTTTTTAAATATAATAACCAAAAATAAAAATATAAGTAAATATAAAAGCCAATACAAACCTTATAACTATGACAACAAAATCAATAACATTCCACAAACTTCTAAGATAAGAATGTGGGTGCAATATAAAACCATTAGCAATAATTTTAAGAAGAGCTTCTGTGCCAAAAATTGCAAGAAGGTAGATTTCAATTTTTTCCTAAGGTTTATTACATATTTATTTATTATAAAAAAAGATTTCAAATACACAAAAAACTTTTAGTAAGTAGAAATATGTAACAAGAATAAGCAATGGATTTTTAAATAATAAATTCAATAGTATAATAAAAAAAAATAATAATAATAAATATAAATATATATATATATATATATATATATATATATATATATATATATATATATATATATATATATATATATATACATATATATATATATATATTATTATTATTATTATTATTATTATTATTATTATTATTATTATTATTATTAACTTTTGAAACAATATTTAATTAAAACTTACGGCAATTATATTCATTTCTGATTTGTCATGATTTGCCAGAGGTACATCAAGTGCCATTATGACACATGTAAACATAATGGAAAGCAATATGAAATATTCAAATATCGTAAAAAATAAGGAAATATATTTCAAAAATGTATTATTTGTTATTAAATAAATTATTATTAAATAAAAATGATTAAAAAAATTACTTAAAAAAAAAGTTACTTTTTAACACCTTTCTCATAAAAAAATATTAAAACTGCAACCCCATCTATTACAAAGTAGGCCTTTTAATACAACTGTTGTTACAAGTATCTGTGTAAAGTATACAACTGTTGTTACAAGTATCTGTGTAAAATGTACAACTGTTGTTACAAGTATCTGTGTAAAGTATACAACTGTTATTATAAGTATCTGTGTAAAGTATTCAACTGTTGTTACAAGTATCTGTGTAAAGTATACAACTGTTGTTACAAGTATCTATGTAAAATATACAACTGTTGTTACAAGTATCTGTGTAAAATATGGTATGCTTGAAATAGTATAAAAAATAATATAATAAAATAGTATATTATAATGGTATGTTTAATAGCAAAATTTTAATTATATTTTGAATGTTTGTTTTATAAATAAAATATAAAAAACAAATGTTTTTTAACTTATAAGTTAATTATTTAAAAGATAATTGAAACATTAAAAACAATATAAGTACAGTTACAACACTTAACCAAAGAATAGTGCCATGAACATGATAGGGACCAGGTCTTTGGTACTAAATCACTAAACTTCTTTTTTTGCATAGCAAAAATTATGTTTTAGAGTCAAAGGGTTGATAGCAGAAAAAAAATTTAATTGAATATAAAAAAAGGAAAAAATATTTAGCTTCCTTCATAGTAATGGCCATAAAAAAATACTTGAAACTATTTTTATATTTTTATTACTTATTTTGCAACTCTCTTTTGTAATTTTTATTTATAGTTTTATTTTGTAATATTTTTTTTAGTATCATGTTCATAACTTAAAAGTTTAATTACTTTTTTAATATAACCAAAACTAAAAACTTTAAATGTTTTTTAATTTTTTACTATGCAATATATTATTTTTCTTTAATTTACTGTTATTAAACAACTGTAAACTTAAATGTTTTTATACAATCTTTATATCTTTATGTGTGGACCAGCCACATTTCAAGATTGGTTTCAACACTCTATTTAATTCTATTCTGTACTGTAACTTTTTAATCTATTATACTATAAAAAATAATGTAGAATTAAATGTTGTAACAGCTACTTATATCGATAATAGAGAATTATGCTGCCTTTGAGGCCAATAATGCTAACATTGCTGACTAAAGTATTGCTATTACTTTAAATCTGAGTTATACAGTTCAAGCTTTAAATTAGAAATCAATTAGAATCTTTCAGTCATCGACTTTGCTTGAAATTGATAAATGAACAGGTTTTTTATTTATTTAAACTACTTATAAAATAATAGTTTTTAGGCATTAAATAAATTATCCACTAAATTAAAATCATCGCTTTAAGTTAAGGAAAATTATCACTTTACGTTCAAAACTAATATTATGCAACAATATTTAGTTACGATAACTGTTTCTATGCACTTCTAACAATTTAGTTTAAATTTTGTTAATTAAAAGACTAATAACTTCCTCAATATAAAATTATAGTAAGAATAACTTTTTTCGCGCGCACATTAGCAATAAAAAATTGTGTTTTTAGAAATTTGTTTGCCATTTTATTATAATTCAACAAACTTTTTGTTACTACGTTACAAAAACTTTACTACATTACTAAGAGGCGCGCGCTAAATTTAACTAATAAACAAACTAAGTAATATTAAAAGTTTTCCTTCGCAAACAGTGGCGGATTAAGACTTCTTGGGGCCCGGGGCTATTTTTGTTTTTGTAGGCCTTTTTATGGTCCAGAGACTAAAAGTGACTAAAAAAAAAAAAACGTCCTATAAAATTTTGGGGGGCCGGGGCCTGGGGCTATAGCCCCCCTAGCCCCCCTTGATCCGGCACTGTTCGCAAACCTTTATTCAAACCAAAACTTAAATTAGTTCTTAAAGTTCAGCGAAAGTTAAGCAAAAGAGCAAATGTTCTTCTCTTTCTTAGTCATTATTTTTTAATATAATATAAAATAATCAGTCTAAAATTAAATAATTATTATACAAGCTTTGTGTTCTTACTTTTTACCTATTTTCTTTTAAAACCTGATAACCGTTGTAAACTTATATGCAACTTAGCATTTAAACCCGAGCCTAATTTAAGTATATTTCAACTGCCAATATTTCTTCATTGTTATTTACCACACTTACATTCAGGACCGCCGAGAGCCGTCAAGCCTGAACAGCGGCACTCTTATTTATCAAAGTTTCCATATATTATAGATTAAAGATTTTTTTTTTAGGTACCTTCTTTTCAATTGGCGCCCCTTGGATATCTGCCGTCCGAGACAAACTGTCCTTTTCACACACCCTCCCTTCCCTCTCGGCGACTCTGCCTACGTTGACATATATTTTTTTCATTTACCTCGGCAATTCTCCGTCGTTAATAGAGAGTATAGAATACAGGGGCGAATGCAGCATTTTTTGATATTTGAAATCTTCCTTCCAGACACGGAGAAAACTCCAAACATTTATATATTTACACTTATATCAAATAAGGGTGCTTTTGCCAAAAATTGCGATGATTGGAACAAAAAAAGCCCTCAAAATTTTATCTACACCTGCCAAGGTTATTGTATGAAATTTTAAATTTATCAAAGAATATAAATTTAGTTGAGAAGTATTTTATCAACTTGTTGCTCTTACGTTTGGGGTAGGTGTAACTAAAATTTAAAAGTTTTTTGTTCCAAGACCCCATCTTTTAGCAAAGCACTCTTATTCAAATGTTTGAACTTTACTCTATGTCTGGAAAACTTAAACATCAATAAAAGCTGAACCCATACCCCCACGCCTGGAATAGTGATCGAACTTTTAAAGTTAGTAATAATGATTCAGCTGTAAGTTTTAGAAACGCGTATCAAATACTGGGTCAAATTTATTAAAAAAAAACTTAAAAAAAATACAGTTTTAACAAATTTTTTAGTACTAGATCTATTTTAAATACTTATACGAGATGTTAAGTATGTACAAATTGTTATTCTAACATCCCCTGCGAATGTGCCTTATTAACATTTACTGCTAACGATCCCTGTTAACTTGTATTGATGTTTTAACGTATCCTGTTAAATAAACAGGAAAATGTGTTTCCTTTTTTAAAACACACGGTAGAGTATATTATATAAATAAATATTGTATATTATATAAATATGATAATGAAGGATTTTATTTTACTTAATGAAAAAGATAGTTTGAAAAATTATCCTAATAAAAAATAAAACCTCAAAAAGTTTAGGAACTTTATGAAAACAAAATTATTTTTATTAAAACTTTAAAAGATCTTTTTATTTATTTTTATATATCAATCTAACATTTTTTTACGTTTCTGTGTAAATTTTTTCTTATACTTTTCCAAATTTTAGTTTGTGAAACTTCTTAATAAAACCAAAAGGACCTTTTATAAGAAATCGAGAATAAAACTTTTGATAGCTACTATATTGAATACTTCATGAATGAATAAAAGTTTTTATACAATTAACACATGTTTTGTGCTATATACTACCAAAATCACTTAACACATGCTTTGTGTTATATACTACCAAAATCACTTAAAACCTAGTTTTCAAAATAGCACAAAAAAAGGTATTCACAAAGTAATACAAGAAAAATTTTACAAAGTTTAAGAAATGTTTATGGTTACTATGAATATGGTTTACTAAATTTTTATTTTCAATAATTTAAAATCAATTATTAATAAATGTTAACTATGATAATTACTAACCATAGTTAACATTTTAACTTGTCCATTGATTATAATTATTTTTTGATTTATTATAGTAAACTTTACTTTCAAATAGTTTTACGAACTATATGATCAAACATATCCGCTAAATATGATCAAACATATCCTCTAAATAGTCTTACGAACTATATGATCAAACATATCCTCTAAATAGTCTTTTAAATTCTAAAGTAAACATTTCCTGAATCCGGTCATTTAAATTTTACAGTAAACGGAGTGTTGAAACAAAAAAATGAAAAGAAAACAAAATGTTTTATGTGTTTTTTAATAAAATCATTGTCACTTGATAAAAATTTTTTATAGTATTATTCTTAAAGTTAAATACATTTAATACTGTTTATTTTTATCAGACTTAACATATAAAATAACACTCGAGCAACGGTTCTTTAAACAAAAAAAATACATTTTCAAAAAATACAACAACTTAAATCTATGACCCACCCATAGGACGGAATAGAAGAAATGGCACCTGCTTTGAAAGATGAACAAAAAGAAAAAAAGGAACTGCAAAGTTTTAAAAAACAAAGTAGATTCCAGAATCAAATGAACAAATTGAAGGTTATACGATAGCAACGATACGATACGATAGCAAAAAATTAAAAAAGATTTAATGTACGTTCAAAGTTTCGGGCATTCGTAAAACATTAGGTATGAAATAATTTTATAAGGTATTTTGTAGTTCATAATAATAATGTTGACGATTTAAATGATTTTTATATTATAAAAATCATTTAATTTTTAATATAAATTATAATAAAAATTACTTTAAATAAAGAACTCCGTTTTATGAAAAACCTTCTAAGAAATTTTATCAAAGATAAATTATAACATATTATAACATATCATAGTTCAATTTGTTTTACTTTGTAAATAAAAGTAATGTTTTAAAAATATCTAACCACATTTATATTAATAATTGAGTTTTTTTTTACAGTTTTAGTATAAATTTTTTTTACATTCCTACACACTAGTTAAAAGATTTTGTCTCCTTTAATAGTTTTCATAATTTTTGTTTCACTTCAACAGTGTTCATAGTATGCAAAAAAAAAATCATGGATTGGTTGATTGGATTTTTGTCGAGTTTCTATCTAACTAGTTCCACGACAACTCGATCGTTAACCATTACATATAATTTTGTAAAGAGGCCATTCCATACATTTTTTTAAAAATATTTTAAGGCTTTTTTTTTTTGGGGGAGAAATATAGTTTTTAAAAATTTTAAGTTAGGATCATGATTTAGTTGAAAAACAAATCCTAGATTCACAATTATTTTCCCGAACTGAAATGTGACCATGACTCCCTCCATAATGAATTGTTGGAATAGATTTATCATGCGTTTATTTACTAAACGACAAAAATATTGTCGACTATAGCTTCCAAAAAATTTGAACTTTGATTTGTCAGCAAACAAGACTTTGGTCCGTCGTTCAATTGTTCACTTTTTATGTTTTTTTGTCCATATCAGTCTCATAACTTGACGTTGGTTTATGCCTTCCAAATCAGACTTTGATCGCGGTTGCTTTCTTTGCGTTGCATTTTAGAAATAATATTACCCTATTGAGTAATTGCACTCTTGTAATGCCACAATAACAGCTTTTCTACTCTTTGCTCTGCTATTATGATTTTTTTTTCCACAGTAAAAAGAAATATATATTATTTCCTTCAAATTCTAATAATGTGATGATATTCGTTGAATTACTTCAATGGGTTTGACACCTATTTTAAAACCGTCACAATATTTAACACAAATATTTATCTAGTTAACTTTCTGCATAGAAAAATATAAAAAAAAAAAAAAAGAGAAAGGTAGTTACTTAAGCGAATTGCTACAGCACAGAGATATATATATACATAGTATTCAAAACTGTTAATGGTGATTAATATGAACTTTATGTTTAGAAATAAGTGGTGCTAAAATCTCAAAATAAACAAGTAAAAAGGTTACGTAAAAAAATACCGATTGCTAAAAGACAACAATTTCCATAGTAACTCAAGCTTTAATTCTTAAAAATTAGTGGTTGTTTTTTTGTTGATAGAAAATATCAAGTATCAATAAATACATACTCTAGTTTAAATACTAGAAGTATTTAAAGACAGATTTAAAAAATAGTGGAGAATGGGGCTAGTTGACTCGGTTTTTACTCTATGAGCTCTAAAGCCCTAACGGCACATTTTTTTGAAAATACTAAAGTGTAGTCTCATAGAGTATGAACTTGGGTAACTTATAAAAGTTGCATTCATTTACAAACAAAAATTCTTGAGGCCTTCCCGGGCCCTCTAAAAAAAAAAAAATTGCGCCAACTTATCCCACCACGAGGTAAGTTGGAGCAAACTATTAAAATGAATATTAATGTACTATTAAGTGCAAAATTAATAGAAATTTTTTACTATTAATTTTGGAAACAATTTTAAGCCAAAAATTTAATATTACTTTTCGCTTGTACCAAATATTAGTACGTATAACAGCCAAAACAGTAGCCCGCTTTTTATCTGTGAAAAAAAAAAAACCTAAAAAAAATTTCTAATATTTTTTTGTAAGAATGAATTTTTTCAATTTTGTTATAAGTTAAAAAAAAAATTATTTTTTATAAAAATTTTTTTTTTCCATTGTAAATGCTATGAGTCAACTTACTCCGTGAAAATTTTTCCAACTTACCCCAAAAACCTTTTCTTAAATAAACAGTCTATAGATCATGTAAACTAATTGTGACTGGAACTTTTGAAATAATTTTTTTTTCACACGACTAACTATTTTCTTTGTAAAGTAAAAAGAAAGCGATGTCGCAAAAGTTGCGTTTTTGTATTAAAAACACATTACTCTTAATATCTCCTATGTGCATGCGCGAATTCTAACAATATTATAATGGACGATGAAATGGTCAAATAGGAAGGTTTTTGACAACTAAGGTAAGGTGAACCATCGTTTTTAACATGACAATCCGTTACGTTGTAGAATTTTAATAATTTTTATTTGACTCAACAAGTTACAAATGATCAAAATTTTTAATATATATTAACGAAATATGTTCTATGTTATTATCACTATTAAGTAAAATTTTCTGCTTTTGAATTTATATAATTAATTACTGCTATGTTACAGGTTGGTACGGAGGGGGAAAAAAAGCCATAAATTTGCTATCCTGCGAATTAGGTGGCAGCTCATTGATCACTCCAGCAACTGCTACATCTGAAGAGTGAATTCAACAAAGCGTATCACTGACAAAAATGAATTTTTAAGGTTTTTTAAAGTTTTTAAGGTTTTTTAAATATGGTTTAGGAGAGATTGCCAAATTTTCCTAACCAAAAATGCTACAAATTATTAAGCTCTCTGTGAGCAAGACAGAGAAAACAGCTTGTTGTTAATGTCTTTCTTAATAATCTCTAAGCTAAAAGCTATGATTTCTAACTGTGCAGTTGGTTAAACTACATTTGAACTTTTTTGATTGGTTTTTTGCTGCCTTTGTCTATTTATAATGTAAGTATTTTTTCATTAAATCATCTGAAAAAAAATATGTTTTTCCTTCCTCATAAAATCAAAGTTTATGATGAATTTAGTAGTTTTTTCATTGGCATTATAATGCCTATATCTATAGGTATAAACATTTGAGTCATAGCGCTTGAAAGCCAGCGCAAAAGTTGCTTTTGAAAAAAAGAAAATATTTTAAAATATATTAGAAATCAAAATCAAAGTATTTAACAAACTCATAAAGTTCAAGGAAAACAATATAAACATAGAAAATAAATTAAAAAAACATCTTTAATGTTAAAAATTGAGTAAAGCAAAAGCTAATATAAAAACATTAAGTAAACACCAAGATTAATATGTAAAAACAAGGATTGATATGTAAACACCAAGATTAATAGGTAAACACAAAGATTGATATATAAACACAAAGATTAGTATGTAAACACAAGGATTAATATGTAAACATAATGGTCAGTATAATGGTCGGATGAAGTTGACGGGCTTTTTTGTTTAAACATTATTTTTCCTTACTTAAAATGCCCAAGCAACATAAATCTATTATCCACCTTTCTAAACATGTAATGGAGTGTTATAAAATAAATAAAATTAATGTTACTCCAAAATCCACCTTACTGTCCTGAGCAGCACGTCATTGAATCTTATTTTTGCAATTGTTAATATAGTAAACTAAGAGAAAGAAAGAAATTTACGAATTGTATAGAAAATATCATGATGAATGTTGTAACAGACAGAATAATGATATCATTATTCAATATTTTTATATGGTTTCACTTAAAATAAACTTTGGTTTGAACAAGTAAAAAATTTAAAGTTTAGGAAAGTATTCAATACATAAAAATTTAAAGATTAATGCATAAAATGCTTTAAAAATGACTGAAAGTTTAATACGCTAAAAAAAAACCTTAAACAAAAAATTTCTAGTGTTTTTAATAAAATGTCTTAAAAATAACATTTATGCAACTCTAAAGTAAAAAAAAAAAATGTGGTTAAGGCACATGTAATATTATTCGTAGATAAAAAGAAACTCAGGGTAGAACAGGCTACATATATTTTTAATACTTTAAAAAAATTCTAATTCTTATAAGTTTTAACTCTTGATATAAATGTACAAATTTATTTTTTATTTAAATCATATCAAGCTTGTTTAAATTTAAAAGAAAGTTTAGAATAATGATAAACTGTTTTTTTCAAACAGAATCCTGAATAACATATGTTTGACAAACCAATAAGAAACACAGGTAACACTTTTAACATATGCTTTTGTAAACAAATAGTGATGGTAAATAGACTGGTAAAATCATCTGTGAAATTGATAAAATTTAAAACTTAAAATGATTTCGGCTGTCGGTAAGTTCAACAATCGATAACGCGGTGATTTTTGATGACAAAAACTAACATCAAGGTGATGTTACTGACTGTTTCAATAAAAGTTTTGCCAAATAAAAATTAAAAATTGAAAATCTATTTAGTTTATTGGTCGTGTAAAACTACCAATGTGTTAGTGTATGTCTAAATTACTAAACTCTTTTTCTATTCATGAATAATTTCATATAAAGTTATTCGCGATCAATTTTTAATTTAATGCTTTTAATTTTAATTGTTTATTGGGAGGGGATTGGGAACTCCCCTGAGATTGTGAGCTATGGCACTGATAATTAAAGTTTTTATGAATAGCATGAGATTCATCATGCACATTTAAATTTTAAAATAAAATATTTAATTTTAAAAAAATAACCGTTTCATACCCATTTACCCATTTACCATTCATACCCATTTGAATTAAAGAACTTTTTCCGGATTTCTTTATTTATAATATTTTCCGGAAATTTTTCTTTGTTTTAAACACTAAACCTTTTCTGTAAAGTAAGTGGAACTAAAACCAAACAAGCAAGTGTTTGTTATCTGTAATATAAATACAGCTAAAGTTGTAACAATACAACAATTGCTGTATTGTTACTTTGAATTTTTAAGGTTTTTTTATGAATAAACACATAATTGTAAAAGAGCTATAATTGAAGTTAGAAAGAATTTTTAAACAAACTTTGTTGGCATATAAAAAAATAAAAAAGCAATAAACCAATAGTTTTAATTTATTGCTCTGATTATAATAAAAACATTTTAAAAAAGGATTTGGTAAAGTTTTACAGAAGCAAAGTTTTATTTTTTGACACTTTGGTATTTAATTAATATTTGTGTTATTTGTATTTAGATTGTTATGATATTTTGTTAGAGTTTTGACTAGCATGGTTTGAAATAAATTTCACTTCACAAAACATTAAAAGTTACGAAAAATCAAAATGAAAAGATATTTTGACTTGGTGATCTTTGCTGCTAATAAACGAACTATATTCTTTGAGCCCAATATAAACAACGAACTATGATCATTCTTGGTTCTTTTTTCTTCAGTTTTTCTGTAAATTTCTTTTCTAATTTTTTTAAGTTTCTCTCTAGCTTTAGGAAACTTAAAACATCGATTTTCTTCGAACTTAAAATTACGATTTGTATTATTTTTTCCTTCCGCAACCAAGGCGTTGTTTTTTTTTGTAGTCGACATTATTGTGAACAATTTCTTAAACTATTTCAGTAAAGTTAACAAAAGTAATAATATTTAATAATACTGAACTATATCATTTTTAGTTTTAAAAAAATTCTAGCTGAAGTTTTTTTCAAGAAAAATTTATTTTCTAAGCCATTCGTTTATATTTTGATTTTAAATGCAAAATGAGAAATGTTTTAATTTCTGACATAATTTTCTTTGCATTGGTCTTTTTCTTTGTAATAGTACCATCTGCTTTTTGTATCAAGTAATAATGTTGAAAAACCGTCTTCTTTATTAATTCAAACACAAAAAAACTGATTTTACGAAAAAATAACTCCCGTGCGTATTAATAATGGAAAAAATAGGCGTCACTTAAAAGTTGTTTTTTTCTTTAAAAATGAAAATAAAAGAGAACGCGCCAAAGTTCATATTAAAAGTTATTATTTTACTGAAATTATGTTTTATTAAAGCATTCAAATCTTTAAAAAAGTGTAAAAAGTATTTTTTTCTTTTTAGTAAAATTAATTAAACTATAAGTTAATAAATTTATTTTTATGTTCTTTAATATTTTATTTGTTGTCTTGTGCTTTTGTACTTTTAGTGCTCTTAAGATGCGGTAGTGTACCAAAGACGCCGTTTGTGATGCTTTTGGAAAAAGGATCTATTCCATCTTCAAGCTCAAAATAATCCGAAAAAGTGTGCATTATTTTTTAATGTTCTTTAATGTTCTTCCTTTTGTAACGGAAAAATTTGTTATAAAAAAAGTTGCTTTCCGTGTTTTACGCTTATAATATAATAAATATATATTATATATATATATATTATATATTTTTTTTTTTTTCATCTATTTACAAAAACAATAAATTACAGTAATATAACCGTATTTAAACCACGCCGTAACCCTAACCCTAGGCCTGACCTTGATGCTGATCCTAACCACTCTGTTGCGAGTCAGGTTTTTTGATAGTCGATATATATTCTTTTTGCTCTATATAAAAGTTGCTTACAGAGACATTTTTGTTATAAAAAAAAGATGCTCACGGGGACAAAAAGTTAACGGGTATACAAAAATGTCCCCGATAAAGCTAATTTTCCCTATAAGTATTCGTTTTTTTATAACAAAAATGTCCCAGTAAGCAACTTTTTTTTTTCAAGTGATACTATATATATATAAGCATTTAATTAGGAAGTTCGCGTCTCCTTCTTTACCGATGACGCATAATATGCCTAGAGCTAGCATTAAACCCTGGATCTCTTCATAAGAAAGCGCTCTAATGACTGAGCCACGGCTGCTCTATTTTTGTTTTGTGTAGAAGAGAGCAGCACTAAACTAATTAATATATGGATCTTAATTACGTTCTCCTACGGAAAAACTGATACAGTGGAAACCCTATCAAAATGGTTATTGTTATTTTCTATAGTAGAACGCGTGCAGTATGAGTGTTACATAAAGTGTCAAAATTTCTTTCATTAGATTAAGCGTATACTTTGTGTATATTGAAAACAAAGCGGTTTGGCTTATGTAAAAATCAAAGTTTATGAATAAATGAATGAATGAATAATGAAACACTTCAAAATTAGAAGATTTTGGATTTTTTTAGAATTATACAAAATATAAAATGAATAATTTAGAAATTAATCTAAAGTTGTTTTTTACTCTCCCCAAAATGTTGTAAAATTTACTGTCCCCTCATTTTGGAAAAAATGGAAATTTTTTAAGGTCATAAAATTTGAACGTTAAATGATTTTTAAATAAAACTTAAAACATGTCAATGAGTTTTTGTTTAGTATTGGATGCTAAGAAATATATTATAATTACTTATTGCTATCCCATTCGGGGTAGGGTAACAAACTTTTTGGGATATTTTTGTTTTCAGACCTTTGGCATTGTAAAGATTGTTAAGTTGAATCTTTGCGCAATGTCTTGAAGCATTTTATTTGAAACATCAAAAATCTACGACACTGTTTCTCCAATCATCATCATCATCATCATTAGCAGCAAAAAATAATTACAACAACAATATTAAAGCGTCTGTATGATATTTTGTTGACTACGACATATTTTCGTTGAATGATCAGGTCTGTGAATTATGAAAAGACAAGAGCGAAAAAACCCAGACCGAAGATTCATTTTTTTTTTTTTTTATAATCACAAATTTTTCAAATTTGTCCAAATTTCAAAATGCTTGTCCAAATTTTTGTAAGATTTTAAATAAATACGTTTTTTAGGTGACATGAACATAATAGTTTAACAATAAATTGTCAGCAAACGATCTGTTCTGATCGTTTATTGACAATTTTTCTTAAGTATAAGCTCTTTCTTGGTCGGAATTCTAGTATTTTTGGTGAAAATTGAAAGAAATATTGTGTTTTGACATCTAATTAAAGTAAATAAACGTCAAAACCGATTAGAATTTGGATCAGTAGTAAATTAAGGAACTCATTCAAAAGATTTTAACTTAATTCATGTTAACATTGATGATCTAAAGACTCCAAAATAGTGTTCTTTAGATTCACTATTACGGATAGTAAAGAGATTTTGAAAACTATATAAAAAAAGAAAAGTTTCTTTAAATATTGAAAAAACTTGAAGCAAAAACAATTATATCATTTAAAGCTTTTGTTTGGATATAATACGCTGATAAAACCATGTTAATTCCGAATAAAAGAATTCGAATAATTTGTAAATCGCCTTAACTACACCGAGAAGTATATGTAATTTTGAAGATAAGTAAATATCATTTACAAAAGTAGAAATAACAATGATTCCAGAATAAAGTTCTAGGAGCCTCAAAGCCAATTGTTTGTAACTATGTACAATGGATACCTCTTGTTCTCTATTGTTCATGATTGAACATAGCAATTATAAACTACGGTATATAAAAAAGCAATTTAAAAATTGCTATTTTTTATACCATAGGTTTCGAGTTTTACATAAGTATATTATGATAAACGCTATCGAATGTTTTTTCTCGAATCAAAAAACAGGCTTAGAGAAAATTTATTGTTTTTAAAACCACCCAATATCTGATTAAATCGGAATCACATCATTAGTTTAACGGTTTTTCCAAAAAACATTTAAATTAAACTATGTTTATTTATACTTTAAATTAAACTATGTTTATTTATACAACCTGTCATGCTTAATGCGCTAAAATAGCTTTAAAAGCAGGGTAGTATGGGTAATTGTTGCGGACACTGCGAAAACACTGTGGAATTGTTGCCATATTTGTATATTTGGACTACTCTTACAATTTTTATTTTATCTGGATAGACCAGTTAATTAATCAAAGATTATGAATAGAGAAGTCATCGAAAAGAGTTAAATTTAGTTTAAGTAAATTTTGAACAGTGTTTTTAGCATATTTATGCTCACTTGTGTTTGACACTGCATTTTGTAAGTAGTCTAATGGATCATTTTAGCATTGTTTCACGGCATATATTAATGGTTTGAAAAGAAAAATGTTTATAATCTACACATGATGATGTGGTGCTTTAACAGGTTAAATTTCTACAACTTTCTCATTTAAGATTGTTTTTATTGTTATTATTATTAGATTGTTTACAATATATAATATTTCAAGTTTTAAAATATTAAAAAAAAAAAATTTAAGTTTTTTTTTAGAATTTAGAGACTTTTATTTTTCATTCTATAAAAAATGTAAAATTCACATTTTTTATTTCAACAATTTTTAATCTAAATAAATAAAATATAACAATGCGAAAAAATGAAATTAACAAAAAAAAAAAAAAAAAAATGTTCACCCCATTCTATACCCATGGGCCAACTTGATTCAATAACGGGGCACGTTGTTCCAGCTAACATGACCTAACAAAACAATTAAAGATGACTTGAAAACCAATAATGAACATTTATTATTGTAATTTTTAGATAACTTCTATTTTTATTTTCAGATAGTCTAGAGTCTTGTCAACCTTTATTCATAAAAAAATAAATTCAAATTCATACGTGAAAAGCAAAAAAGTTAAACATTAAAAAAAAAAAAGTTGGCGTAAAAGTGTGTATGTATATATATGTTCTTTATATATTATTCAATTTGTATGTTAAAACTTTTTATATAAATCCTACATTTTGTCATTTCATGTTTGATCTGTCTTTTACTTATTCTAAACCCAAAATGTTAAAAAATAAGTTAACAAAGTAATATAAGAAGCCAGTTTATATTTGTATTTAGATTGTATTTACGCATATTTTACACTTATTTATTTTTTTACTTATATTTTTAAGTTGCTGGAAGATGAGACTAAATTAGTATTTTTTTATGCCGCAGCCATTTATTCATTTTTATTTATATACTTTTGTAAGTTTAATTGTATTTAATGTTTAGCTTTTCTTAAAGGTGAAATACATAACTACTTTCATCATTGTACTGAAATATATTAATAAATAAACTGAGTTAATAAAAAGCTCTATAACTCTATATTTTGAGTATAAAATACTAAAATAATTTGTTTTGGCAGAACTTTTTTTATGGGTTTTTTCAACTTTTTTTAGGAAGTTGATTAGGATCGGTGACGGAGGGAAAAAGAATTTTAATATTTATCCCTTATTTATTAATAGCCAGGTAGAAAAGCATTTACTGGACATTTTGAAAAAAGAGCATAAGTTTTACAAAACTTTTTTTATTTGATTGTCATGTTTCTAATATTCTGCAGCCGGTACATTTTTAGCAATTTGTTAAATTGAATTTACAAAAAGTTCCATGAAATTATTTACTGCTGAAAAATTAAAATAATTTTATTCCTTTCAACGTTTCAAGCTGTTCGAATTCAATCAGACGTATATGCCTTATTATGACATCTGTATTTGGATATGATAGTCGAAAAGCGCAGCACAATTCTTTCAAATGTTTTCACTGAAAAAATTTTCTATTTAACATTTGACTTCACCACGATGTCTTTTACTGTTCCAACAAGTCTGATCCTATAATAAAACAACTTTATTAAATAATATATTAGTTTCATAAAAAAATAAAATTTATAAACGCAAAGTCTAACTTAAGTAAATACTTAATAAATTCATTTGAATTTATTTTAGTAAAAAAAAAAGTTTCATAAAATCCATAGCAAAAATAACTTTCAGACTAACTTTTTTATAAATAATTTTTACAAACATAGACTATACTAATAATACCAAAAAAGGAAAACTTCTGTTTCCTTTTATCTTAACGTTAATCAAAACTTAATTCATTATATTCTGAATTAACTGAATAAGGAAGGTAACTCGTGGATTCATTTTTAAATTTTAATGAAAATATTTTTTATATATAGGTTTACCCATTCACATACCATTCATTTTATAAAAGGTAAACTTATATAAGAAGAAATATTACAATGTTCATGAACATTGCATAACTTGAAATTTTTTCTACATACTTATTGATGCTGTTGCTGAGTTTTGATTTGTAGAATTGACCAAAAAAAGATTACCCAATGAAAAATGTTTTCGAGATAGTTCTTTTTTAGTAATGTTGCTCGATTGATATTCATTTTGAATTCTAAAATATAATTAAAGAGTAAAATTTAAAAAATCAATCAATTTTAAAAAATTAAACGGTAATCAATGTTAACAAATAGAGCAATAGAAAAAAACTCCAATGAAAAATAGGTAAAAAAAAAGTAAAGAAAATTATATGATAAGTACAATATTAAGACTTATTGCATCATTTATTACATCAGCAACTTTATCGCATTTTGTGTAAGGGATCGCCCATAAATTACGTAACGCAAACTTTCACAATACACAAAACAAAAAAGATCAAAAGTTTTCCCTCGCAGAGTCTTATTTTATTGAAAAAAAAAATCAAAATAGCCTATTAAGTTCAATGAAAATCACCACGTAAAAGAACTTAATATCTCATACCTCTGTTTTTTAAATACATTTTGCGTTGCGTAATTTATGGACAATCCCTAAGAGAACTAATAACTCACGTAATTTATGGACAATCCTTAAGAGAAAAAATAATTCACTTGAAAAAAAAAAAAATAAAAAAAAAAAGTGAAATGAGTTTTTTCAAAAATAAAGTTACAGACTTGGATACAGTCATAAAAGCATTGGATACAGTCATAAAAGCATAAATAGCTTTTTAACATAAAATATTTAAATGTTGGCACATGAAAGTCATACAGGGATGCATGGTAGCTAAATCATAAAAAATAACAGGTTTTTCTTTAAAAAAAATGACTGTTGCCGATTATATAGGACACCTTGACATTGATAATGTAATTTTAAATAGAAAAATTATAATTGAAGTTTTAGAAGTATTATAACTAGATGTTTGAAATCAGAAAAAAATAATAAAAAATAATTTGTAAAAAAAATAATTTACTTGGCTCCTGAGAAAGTAAGATTTCTCTTAACTTTTATCTCCTGTTGAGAATCAACAGATATATTGAGGTTTGATAGCTTGCGATTCTTTAGATTAGGAAGGATAGCTTGGATACGCTGCATTACAGTAGGTGTAGCAACCTAAGTTAGAAAAAATCGTTTTATAAAATTTAAATTATGAAATTAAATTTACATGAAACTGAAAGTTACAATCACAAAAAAATATTGAAATGTAAAATATAGTATGAAGGACAAACTGGTATGCAAGATGACTCAATAATTTGCCCTTTAGATTTCCGATAGTTATAGACAAACAGCTTCATGCAATATATCTTTCCAACAGTCAATTGGCTGTCATCTATAAAACCAATGAAAACTAAATTACAATATCAGCTCTAAATAATAAACAAACGTTATAATATTTGGGCGAAGAAATTGTTATATTAAAAAAATTTAAAGTTAACAGAAATATTTATTGTTATGTCGTATAAAATAAATACAAGTATTTTGAGTTTTCTAAAGAAAAAAAAATATGTTCAACATTTGTGGTAATTGTGATTAAAGACTCAAACTTCATTACAATGATGGACTCAAGCTTAGCAGCGATAGGACTCAAGCTTAGCAGCGATAGGACTCAAGTTTAGCAGCGAAAGCAGATCCAACAACATTTAATGTTTTTGGACCTTGAAAAAAAGGCATTAAAAACCAATAAACCCAAATATGACAACAAAACTCCATACAGATTTAAAGAGATAGAAAATGGAATCTGGAGTAAGAGGCCAGCAAAGTAAAATGGAATCTAGAGTAAGAAACCAGCAAAGTAAAAACTGCAATAAATATTGCACTAAACTAAAAGTTTTTTTAGGTTCAAACTCACAGGCCGCTGCCCCAAGCAGTCACAGAAGAGAGATCGCATTTAAAATTGCCTGCATGGTCAAAACAATCAAAAAGTAATAACTCTTTGTCAAGACTGCAGTTTATAGTTATGAAGTAATATTGTAAGAAGGGTCATTAATAAGATGAAAACAAAACAAGCTCAATGATGAAACCTTATGAAACCATGAGATTACCATAAAAAAAGGAGAGTGTTGTCCATCAAACCAACTTTAATACTGCAATTAGAAAGAATAATTAGAATAATTAGATTGAATAGTTAGAAGGAATAATTAATAATTTTAAAAACTTTATCAGACACACCATAAGAAGAGAGATTACAAAAAAAAAAAACATGTGAGACTTTATAGCCTTTAACATGTCTAGAGCAAAATAGCCCTTGTTATATAGCAATTTGTACACAGAGGCAATTCTACAAATAAAATGAGGGGGGGGGGGTAAAATCCTTAAAAAGTACCAAGTAAACTAAACTGGCTTTGTAAAAAAAAAAAGAAAAAAAAAAAATATTGATTATCAAAGAGATGTTAAGATAAATCAAAATGTTAAAAGTTAGTTAATTAAAGACACTCAAAGACAGCAGTTTGAAAAAAAAAAGATTTAGTTAAGAACTTGTTAAAGAGTTTAAGGAGCATTGAAGAGAGTTTTGGAGAATACTTTAGTAAGGCTATGAGAAAAATGTTTTCAGAAACACAAACTGTGGTAAAAGTCCAAGTGAGAAAAAATGGTAAAGAAACTATTAAAACTTTTTGGAAAATCTCTAGAACTTAGTAACTAAGCAAGTAACCAGAAATTAGACAAAATATCAGGAACTACATTAAATATCAGAAAATAAACAAAGGAATTGTCTCCCTCCCTTAAGTTCTGCTCAATTTCTTCTTGTTCCTTTTTAGGTGATTCAAATCAAGATCTCACTGATCAATGCACTGCTCCCAGATAGAGAGTTTAGGTTGAAGGTGAAGGTACCTGGGATTTCTTTTGGCAGAAATATTAGAAAGACATACTCAAATAACATTAGCCAAAAGTTAAAATTGTACCCGCTCCTAAATTAAAAATTCATGTTTCTTTTTTTTTTTTTATGTACCAAAACTTTATTGTTTTTGGCACACAGACAACCTAATAAATTTCAAAATATAACAAGAATACATTTATTTTTTAGAATTATATATATGTTATATATATGTACATATATATAAACATATATATTTAAAATTCAAAATGTGTGTAAAGTATTTCATATAATTTAGCAGGAAAAAATTAAATTTGAAAAAAGTAAAAGAATCGGAAAAGAAATCATCAGGAGTGCAAAGGTATAATCTGTTTTAAATGTTGCAACAAGAACAATGTATACCCCTAAATAATCCACCATAGATAAAGGATTTGATTTTAAAGCAAACTTCTTTTTAACTGTAATGTGTCCAAAGTGCAAGTAACATAGAGATATAAGGGAGTGCATTGACCCCATCATTCCCCAGGAAAAACAAGTAATCCAAATTCAAGTACTTATTCTAATGCCTCAATGTGTGAAGATTGTTTTCAATAGATAGGAAGAGGTATTATTATATTAGACACCCCTGCAATAGAAACTAAAAACTTAGAAAAAATTATTATGTCAAAAGATCTTAAATTGTATAAACATGTAACATCAAAAATTCTAAAAACAACTATTGCGGATAAAAAACAGGATAAGGTTAAACTACCAACATGTGGAACATCTACACCTTGGAGAAAGTATCTTTCCAAAAAAGATTAGTTTACACAGTATTTAATATCAAAAAAAAGTTGATATTTCAGCAAAGTACTTACGATACAAAGGTTCAAAAAGATGTAATATATGTGGAAGATATACCTATGCTTATTTATGAAATATGCAAACAAAGAGATATTGTTCTCCAAGAATCAATTGAGGATTAGTATTGTTGGCGGCCAAGGGTCAATTAAATTAAATTTTAAACAGAAAAACTTAAGGATCAATTAAGAAATCAATCAAAAAGACTCGGGTGTAAACAAAGTTATTTTATTGACAATTTTCCGAAAAGAAGCAGCTACAATACAGCCTGGTATTGGATGTATATGAGCATATTATCACAAAGGTGTCAAGAGTACTATTTTCAAATAAGACCTTAACTAAGTTCTTAGGGGTCGTCCATAAAGTACATACTTTTTTTTTTGCGTCCATAAAGTACATACTTTTTTTTTTGCCACCCCCCTTCCCCCTGCGTTTTGTCATACGTTATTTTGAGTATCCTCTACCTTCCCTAAAAGTATCTATGGTTTTAACCTTCCATTCCAACATTTTATGATATTTTTTTTAATTTAGCCTCTCCA